GAAAGTGGGGAAGGGAGAGATAAAGAAGAATAAACATCCACAGCTGGATGAGGATGGACTTGAAATCTTGACTATTAAGTGGAGAAAGCAGACAACTCCTTAAGCCGCCCCGCAAATTGCTCTGTGATAATTTGCCTTGCGGGTCCAGCCTGAGGGCCAGCCTGTTGACCCTGCGCGCTTACTACTAAGGCCTAATTGAACCACCACCCCCTTTCCTGCGTTGGGAGTGATATGTGTTAGGAAAATCAATCCGTTTGTATGGGGAGAAACCAGACTGGTTTCCTGCTACTGCTCATATTTTCACTAAAACCCCATTTTACTGGAACCAACATTGAAAAAAACAGCACATTTTATTCAAAACAAGGCAATATTGGTATTGACAGAGCTGCAGTGGTAATGAGGACGATCAATTCTCCCTCCTCCATTATAGAGTATTGAGCAATTTTGGAGTAAATTTGTGGCATCGTTAGACAAGATCAGCATTTCTCCCTTTTGAAAACTTTTTCTTTTTATCCTTTTTGCATATTTAGATTTTAAGTATTCCTGCTCTGGTGAAAAAAAAAAAAGCAAAAACAAGAACAAAAAAGAAAGCCAAAAGTTCCCAAAGAAATAAGTGAAGTTCTGGTAATAAAAACTGGAGATGCTAGACATTTCTTTCTAATTCTTATTAATAATACATTGTGATGTTATTTTTGCATCTTGCTTCATGCAGACTGTCTCCCCAACTCTCACCCCAAATTAAAAGGCTGCAGATACTAAATAATCCAAGTTCTGGGAGAGGGAAACTTCAAGGCAAGAGGGCGGCAGCTCCCTTTCTGTTTGGAGAAGAGGGAAGAAGAAAGAAGGCAGAGGTGCAGGCTCTGTTGGGTGCAGGAAGGGACTCAGAGCATCAGGAGAAAGATCTGGGGAAGGGAGTCAGGGAGGCTGGGTAGATCTCCACATGGAAGAGCTCCCCAAAGTAAGTGACGGAGTTGATGTGTTCAAATTAGTTTTGGCATTTCTATCTTCTGTTTCTGGTTCCTTTTGGGCTACACATGTCCCTCTACCAGTTCATGCTGGCTGTGCTAATTCCACAGTGACAGGGAAGAGGACTGTCTCAGTCCATTCGGGCTGCTATAACAGAATATCATAGGCTAGGTAACTTATAAACAACAGAAATTTATTTGTCACAGTTCTGGAGGCTGGGAAGTCCAAGATCAGGATGCTGGCAGATTTGCTGTCTGGCGAGGGCCCACTTCCTCAGTGATGGCCCTCTTCTTTCTGTGTCCTTATATGGCACAAGGGGAGAGGGAGCTCTCTGGGGTCTCTTTTATAAAGGCACTAATCCCATTCATGAGGGTTCCATCCATATATGCCTCCCAAAGGCCCCACCTCCAAATACCATTGCATTGGAAATGAGGTTTCAACATACAAATTTGGGGGATGCAAACCTTCAGTCCATTGCCAGGACCATCTTCTCCAAGTGACGAGCTCTCTCCTTGACGTGAGTGATGCTGGTAAAACCATGACATTTCAGAATGACAAAATCCTGCTTGCGAGCAATCTGCCTGAAAAACCATTCTAATAGAGTTTAAATTTTAAACTAAAATTAAAATAGTCTAGAATTTTAAGTCAGAAATGTTACTGAAGCTATCGTAAAGATGGGAATTTCACTGAATGCCATCAGTTCGAGGCATTTGAAGAGCTATAGGTGCTGTGCTCCTGGAAGGCAGGAGGAAGCACAGGTGGGTGAGCTATGTGACCTATGCGTTTTTTAAAAAATCTAAAACCTGATGATAAACAGCATAAATATGTTTCCCCATACATTTTAATCCTTGAAAGATATATGCTACAAAACATTGTCTGTGGCCTGTGGAAGACTGTTGTCTTAGTAATTTCTGTCCCTTAGGGATACAAACGTATTCTTGACCGTCTCGGGGCAGGATGCCCCCACATCACTGCTCATGTCAGGGGGAGATGGTGGAGAGAGGTGATTCTGGGTGTGGGGTCTGGAGTCAAAGCCAGGCTCTGCCCTTACTCTGCGGCCTGGACAATTCACTTCTCTGGACTCAGTTTCCTCACCTGTAAAATTAAGATAGTAACAGTACCTTCCTCACAGGGTTCCTTACAGGGATGCTATGATCTACACATGTCAAAATGCTTCGAGTCGGGCCCAGCACATCCCGGACACCCAGGAAATAGTCTCATCACAGGGTACAACTTAGTCCTCAAAGTAGATGCTAGGCCTGGATTCCTTTCTAAACCCAAGAGCTCCCTGAAATGTATGAGGGGCTGCAGGGAACCCCTCTCCTCCCAGATGCTGTAAATTCTTTGCTGGAGCCCATCTCCCATTGTGCCGAGACTGTCTCCTCACTTATCTCACCTTAGCCTGTGATTCCTTTGAGCAGGGACAGTGTCTTACTCAGCTTGAAGTGCCTAAAACTTACCCAGAACCTGACATTGAAGAGGCAGTTGGTACTTATTTGAGGGAGAAGAGGAAGACAGGGAAGCAGGGAAGGACTCCTGGAAAGCTTTCCTGGGGGTGTGGGCAACGGAGGGTCTGTGACTGGATGGGACCGGAAGCCAGAAAGAGATTCCTCAAATAGGTGCCTTTATGGTTACTCTTGGCTTTACTTTCATGGACTAACCTAGACGAGATCTACGTTGTTGTAGATCTTTTCTTGAAACCAAAAACCAGGGCAAAGGCGGGCAATATGAAAAGTGTGCTAGGGCCTCAAGTCGGGTTCCCTGGAAGTGGACAAGATGGGGTACAGGGGCATTGGATCCATGGAGGGGGACTCAGGCGGAGGGGAGTGAGGGAAGCGGGATGGTGCAGGGGAAGGAGTGAGTGAGGATGTGCTGTCAGCTGAGGTCCTGCTCCAGCCTAAGCCACAGGGTGGGGCTCTCAAGCATGAATTGCACCATAGAGGCTGAAGGGGGTGACCTCACTGGCTACAGTCTGGTGTGTGTGTGCATGTGTGTGGTGTATGTATGTGTGTATATTTGCATGCATGTATGTGTAGAGTCATGTGTTGCTTAAAGATGGAGATGTGTTCTGAGAAATGCATTGTTAGGCAATTTCTTCATTGTGCGAACATCATAGCGTGTGCTTACACAAACCTGGATGGTATAGCCTACTACACACCTAGGCTTTATGGTACTAATCTTATGGGACCACTGACATATACGTGGTCCATCGTTGATCGAAACGTTGTTATACAGTGTGTAACTGTATATGTATGCGTATGCACATGTACATGCATATGGGTGCACACACATCTGTGTGTGGGCATGTGTGGGCATGATTGTATATGTGCATGCTTATATGTACATACGTGTGCATATATGTATGCATGCACGCATGAAAATATATGTGAGGGGCCAAATAGTCCCTGGGCAGGGCAGCTCCCACTTAGGGGAGGGCAGTCCTCCAGAGAAGGGGCAGCTGTGATGGGTACACTCACCCAGAGAAGGAGGTCTGGATGGGGCCCCCATAACATCTACTGCAGAAAAATTCCATTAAGTTCTAACTGATATCCCTCTCACATCAAACAATATCTTATACAACAGTAAAAGAGAATGTGGACAGTCCTAAGAGTTTTTGTAAAGGAATTTCTGCCCCCCACCACCCCCTGCTCCAAACCATTTATATGTCCACAGAGGGCTGGGGATTCCAGGGGTTTATATTTTTATGAAGAAAAGAAGATTGTAAAAACAGTGTATTTGGATCAAATATTTATTGAGCTGACTCTATGTGCTCTATTCTATGGGCTTCAGGAACATAAAAATAGTGAAATGACTTGAAACCTAGTTTTCGTTGTTAGCGCCATAAAGTCGATTCTGACCCCTAGCGACCCCGTGTACAGCAGAGTGGAACCCTGCCCTGTCTTTTTGCGCCATCCTCTCCCCTTCTGGCGCTATATCAGACATTACTCTGCTGCTATTCATAGAGTTTTCATGGCCAATTTTTTTGGAAGTTGGTGGCCATGTCCGTCTTCCTAGTCTGGAAGCTCCGCTGAAACCTGTCCACCACGGGTGACCCTGCTGGTATTTGAAATACCAGCAGCACAGCTTTCGGCATCACAGCCACACGCAGCCGCTGCAGTGTGACAACCCACAGACAGGTGATACAGTTCCCTGACCAGGAAATGACCCCCGGACTGTAGCAGTGAGAGCGCTGACTCTTAAACACTAAAGCACCAGGGCCGGCTTGAGATCTAGTAGGGGCACGATAAGAGCGTGACCGTCCGTGTAGCAGAATGTGCTGAGGACGGAGAGAGGGACAAAGGACGACTGGAGGGTGGGCAGGAGGGAGACAGCACCTGGGGAGGAAGGGGAGGCATCAGCGGAGGCTTCCGGCAGGACCTGGCCTCAGCTGGCTGTGCACTCTGGTTTGACGCGTGCAGACGGAGAGGGCTGCATCTGCCACAGCCAGCAGTGTGTGTGTGGTGCCTCCTGGAGGCTTATACTCCCGGGGCGAGCATCACCTTCTACGTCAAGGGGTGCTAATTCAAATGCAGGACGTTAAATGAGGGAAGCCAGCTGGGGCAGGTGTGGGACGCACTAGAGGGCACAGCCCTGCCCAGCTCCAACACTGCAAACCTGTCTGACCAGATCTCTCTATCTTTTGAGAGAGACTACATGTCTGGACTTTCATGTAAAATCTCCAGACTTTTAAAGGTTAGCAATTAATTCAGAAACTGCTTCAACATTGTGTGGATCAAACATCACGCGTCTCTGGGGCAGATGCAGCCTCTCGCCTGCCAGTTTGCAGTCTCTGTTTTAAGACGTCTACCCCTTCGGCAGCCGATCCCAGGGCTTGCGTCCTCCCGCACGTTGGCCTCCGGGGGCTGCGGCTGCGCGTCTGAGAACACCTGAGACAGATGGCGCAGTGAGAACAGGCTGTGGTGGGCGCCGTCTCCTTGCCCACAACCTATTCAAGGCCTAATTGGGAGCCTATCAAAGTTGCTCATAAAATATCTGACCTCAAGTTCTCACTGCTTGCTGTGGTCACCTCTTAGCTTTCCGAGGAGATCCAGTGCTCCCTGGCCAGTCACATCCAGTCCCTGGTGAAATCGGAGAAGAACCGTCAGGTCATGTGCGAGGCGGGGATGCTCAGGACCCTCATGACCTCCTGCCACAAGGCCCTGACCACGGGCAGCAGCCCCTTGCACTCAGGCCTCATCAGGATTTTTGAAAAGCTGGCCTCCCAAGCCATCGAACCAGACGTGTTAAGGTACCGTGTGCAGTGCATTAAACGCTGCTGAGCCCCTGGGAGCTGTGCTCATGCACAGTGGACAGTAGGGGTGCACAGGCACAGGTGTCCCTGTCCCCCCTCTGCCCTCTGCAGGGCGTCCCCTTCCCAGCATTGGACACTGCAAGTCCAGGGAGGAGCCTGGGGTCTGTGTGGGCAGTGTGTGAGCCCACAAAGCAGACACAGCCCCTCCCGTGGAGCTGACGGTCTCGGGGAGAGGGGACAATAGTCAAAGGGTCCTGCTGACAGTACAGAAGAGCGCTGTGGGGATGCTCAGTGGAGAGTGCTCCGGCTACGTGGATCTGGGCAGACCACAGCGGGGAGATGGGGCAGATAGAGGCAGGGCTTCAAGGAAGTGGAACCTGCTGAGCCCTGCGGCCGGTGCAGACCTGTGCACCAGGAGAGGAGGAAAGTGGCATGTGAAGATGCCCTGCTGATAAGGGGCAGGTGCTGCAAGGGCCTGACTGTGCTCAAGAGGCTAGACTGCAGGGACCTAGGCTGTGTGAGGGGCAGCAGCCGGGACTCTGGACAAGGTGTCCTGTGGGCCCTTCCAGATGGCAGCCCCTCCATGAATCCACACGTTTCCTGGAGAATTGCAGCGGGGAGAGGAGATGCCCGGAGTGGACACAGAAGACAAAATGGCATGAAAAGACAGGCTGCAGGGAGAGGTCATGTCTCCTAAGTGCCTGTGGCCTGGCCACCGTGCCCTGGCACAGTGCAGGGAAGGTCACACGCCTGCCGGGCCCCTGCTGACCATAGGACCAAGTGCAGAGGAGACAGGAGACAACCCCTCCAGCCAGCAGATAGGGGACCCAGGGGCCAGGCCAGCCCCTTTCAGCTCCTTTTATGTGGACTGCCAGACAAGGCCACCGTGCTTAATCTAGCTGTTTAGCAAATTCCATTAGAAACTTACAAACAAAGTATGACAAAGTTATTTTCCAACAAATTCCTTTTCCTTGCAAGGTCCAGTTTGAGGCTTGCAACTGGTCACTGGTTAAGTCAAAAGCACCTCAACTCACCAGCTCTCTGGTCTGGTTACCAGGACAGGGATGCCCTGTTTCTGCACTGCTTGAGGGCCGTGTTTCTAGGCAGAGAGAGGAAAGCCTGGGGGGCAGGGGGAGGGGATGGGATCAGGGAGCACTGGGCTCTAGGAAAGTGCTTGGATGAAGCTGGAGAAAGCTTCTGCCTGGAAACTGTCTTCATTTGGTTCTCTTGTGTGTTATGATATTCAGACAGTTTCTGGGTCTTGGAATCCCCCCACCTCCAACAGCTGCAAAGAAAATCCTCGATTCATCTCGTGGGCAAGGAGGGGACTCCGGATGCTCAGGTGAGGAAGGGGAAAGAAAAGGGGCAGGTTAAGGGGAGTTAAAAGAGAATATGCATTCCTTGTAAGGTGATGTTTATGACAGGACAGATTTAAAACCTGATTTTGCCTGCTGCTCAATGGAGCAAATGAGGAAAAGCAGAGGTGGTCCCTGGAGAAAGATCAGATCTGGAAGGAGAAGGAAGACCCGTACCCCCATATAAAATACATGATGGTGAGCGTGTACTTGACCCCTTTGTGCTCATATCATGGAAACAGTGATAGGGTCATGACAGAGCTGGAGTACCCAGTGCTGCTCCTAGACAGAGGTGCCCAGTGACGGCTTTGTGCACAGCTCACAGCTCAGGGGTGGGTTAGGGGGTCAGGAGGCCAAAGCATTGGGTGGATGCCCTCGTATCAGGTCTGGTACCTGGAAGGTTGCTGGTCCAGGGAACCAGATAGGAGAAAAGAAAGCTGTGGACATGATGAACGTATGCTCACGCAGGACATTCAGGTAAGAAGGGCCAACTGGAAAGAAAGGAGTGAGAGTCGAGCTGGGCTGGCAGCCAGAGGCGGGAGACGGATGAGAGCTTTCAAGGAGTCAGGCTGTTGTGGAAGAAAGAGTGGAGGTCAACGAGCCCCAGTGAGTGACTGGCAATGCGGCAAGCCAATGACAGCGACAGAAAATGGTGTATTGGAAAGGAGGGGGCATGATGGAGTTAAGGGAGAAGTTTCTAGGAGGAGCAGATTGTTGCTGCAGTTCGGTGTTATCAAAGTCAGCAGAGGGCCCAGGTAGGAGAAACCAGGTGGGAGGGCCCAGGATTGCCACCCTCTAGGCTGTTAGGAACTGCCTGGTGACTCTGCAGACCCGCCCTGTGGGGTGGTGGCAGAAACGTCAGTGCTGTTGTCAGAGCAGTGGAGATGCTTTGAGTAAAGTCACATCCCTTCTCTTGCTTGCTACCTTAGGGTCACAGGCAGCGGCACCAGCGACTGCTGAGGGTCCTGTGGGGGCCATCCCGGATGCCGGCCCATGCCCAGCAGGCACACAGGCTCCCAGGCCCTCAGGGCCACCCCAGGGCTCCACCACCGCCCTTCAGACAACATTGAGCCTCATCTCCATGACCTCCCCACGCAGCCTGCAGCCACAGAGGGCGGTCCTGGCTCCATCGTTTGTGGAATTTGACATGTCCGCGGAAGGTTATGGGTATGGCAAGCTTTTGTATATTTGAAATACTTGGTTAATTTCCCAGTGTCTTGGATGAATTATATTGATCACGAAGTTGTAGTTCCCATCAGCTCTCACCACTCAGCAGTGGACTACTTCTTGGTCATGGACACCCCGTCTACTCAGTGGCTTCGCAGGGGCAGTGTCCCCAGCCGTGCAGGGCCAGGACCCTCTCCTTCCCCTGGTGTGTCTGCATTCTGGAATGCCCTCCCCTCCAGCATCCAGCATGGACTCCTTCTCTTAGGGCCGTGGTACAGGCATCAGCAGCCTTCTGTCCTCAGGGTCTCATTTCTAAGAAGGAGTGAGGCCTCTGCAGAGGGACAGACGGGAGATGTCATGGCCACAGATTGGCTTGTGGTTCAATGATCTGAGACACTTTCCTGTTTCCAGCTGTTTGTTTATTCCGACCCTGTCTACGGTGATGGGAACCAGCACCGAGTACTCGGTCTCCGGAGGGATTGGGACAGGTAGGTGTTCCCCAGGGGTTAGCTCACCGAGCTCTCTTCACCTGGCCCCAAGAATAAGTCCTTAGGAAGCTTTGATATCAGATTTCCGCTTGGCATTCCAAGAATGTGTGAGTCTTCCTGCGGGTCCTGTGTTCTGTGCAGGAGTCATCCTTCTGGGTTGTCATGCCTCAATTAGTGCAGTGGCGTCCTCTTCATTGTGCTCCCAGGAGCCCAGCCCACAGCTCTGCATGTAGTGGGGCTCAGTGAGCACTGATGGGCTGCATAAATGACTTGCTGGCTGAACCTGGGTGTGATTCATTTTTATGGTTTTGGTGCCTTTGGACACCTCACCACACCTTACAGCTCTCTCGAGAGGAATATGAGTTCTATTTTGACAGCCATCCAGGAATAAGCCTGTTCTTGGCTCATGGAGGATTGACCTGGGCCTTGGCCTGCTTTGTACAGAGCTGCATTCCACTGAGAACCAGGCATCGTCTGTTAGGAGGACCAGGGTCTGGGTTTCTATGGGACGGTGGGTCCTGAGGAGCTACCGCATTCACAGCCCATCAGCACGGGTCACCACGTCTGATTCTGCTGGTTCAGTGAGGGCAGCAGGCTCTGCCTGTATCACCAACTTTGTTACTGGGTGGGAGGGCCTGGGTTTCCCTAGAGGGGAACATTCGTCTTGCAAAATCCCACCGAGCCAGGCTGATGTCCTCTGCCCTGCATGGCACACTGTACAACTTTAGGTCAGCTGACCAATGGGCCAAATGGTGACAGATCTCAGGTCTGTGTGTCCCTCTCCGCTCCCTTGCAAGGAGGGGTTGAATAATAGGTGAGACAGAATTGGAGAGAGGCTGTGAGGGTCTAGGCTCAAGGCCTGGCGGGAATACGACTTATTCCTGAGAGTATGAATAAGGAGACAAGAGCCCTGCCCCGCGGGGTCCACGTCAAATGGGCATGAGTCAGGCGAGGCACAGTGCTGGCACACAGTAGGGCCACCCCTGGGCTGAATCAGAGCCTTGGTGAGTGTAGACAAGCTTCCATAGCCGGACACAGCCTAAGGGCATCCTTATGTTCTGACCCAGGTGCTGCCAGGTCCTTCCCTCCACCCGGAGGCCTGACCTTCTCCTGCTGGTTCCTGATCGGCAGGCACGGCACGGTCATCGAGGGCCACCCACTGCGCTTCCTAACCCTGGTGCGCCATCTGGCCAGGACCGAGCAGCCCTTTGTCTGCTTCTCCATCAGCCTCTGCCCGGACGACCTCTCCTTGGTTGTGTCTACAGAAGAGAAAGAGTTTCAACCCCTGGGTAAGGTGTTGGGAGCCAAAGCTGGTTTTGCCCACACTTGGGGGAAATGGGGCTAAGTCAGCAGCTCTTGGCACAAGAGCCTGGGAGCCCAACCCTCCTACAGTAGTGCCGGTCGCCAGTCCTGGCTCTCTAAGCTCTCCAGCCTGAGATGGCCTGAATTGGCCCGAGATGGCAAAGCCCAGTGTATCCCAGCCATGCCTGTCCTTCTTGTGTGCACTGAGACTGTCACGTTCACAGCGAAACACTGGGAAGGCCCAGAGGATGGCTTGGCATCACAGAACAGCCACCTATTCCCCCGCCCTCTCAGGACTTCGTTGGCAAATGCACATCCTTGTGGAGGTGGTCTAGTGTGGGGTGGACCCTGGGGCCTGACTCCTGGGTTCGAATCCTGGCTGCATGACTTTGGGCAAGTTACCTAACCTCCCTGTGCCTCAAGATGGTAAGTGGGAATCATGATGGCACCTGCCTCACAGGTTATCATGAAAATGAAATGAGTTAATATTTGTAACAGTCCTTAAAACAGTATCTAGCACAAAGCAAGAGCTGAAGGAATGATCGCCGCTGTTGTCATTATTCTGCAAGGAGGGGCCAGGCCACGGCTCCTTGGGCGCGAGGCCCAGGTCTCCTGGGCTGCTGCAGCATGACATCGTGTGCGAGGTCTGGTGTTCATGTTCTCTTCCAGATGTCATGGAACCTGAGGACGACTCTGAGCCTTCTGCAGGACGCCAGCTTCGGGTCAGATGTGGCCAGCTGCTGGCTTGCGGTCAGTGGCATCACCTGGCTGTGGTTGTCACCAAGGAAATGAAAAGGAATTGCACCGTTTCCACCTATCTGGACGGACAGGTCATTGGCTCAGCCAAGGTGAGCTGGCTCCCCTGAACTGAGCTCGCCCCACGGCCATGCCTCCCGGTCGCACCACCCTGGAGTGGCCTCCATTCAGTTCTTTGTTTTCCTTTGGTGGAGGGGTTGGTATCCAGTGAAACCTTTCTTACTGTCCAGAACACTTAGCTGAGTTGAGGCAAAAAGGGCATCTTTAGAAAATGGAATGACAGTTACACAACCAAGGCAGAAGGTAAAACATGGAAATAAGGCTAGTCATGACAGTTTTGGCTGTAAGAACAGTCATAAGAAAATACAAATCTCCAGAGTGACCAAAGCAAGTGTTCTCACATTTTAAGACACGGATTCCCCAGGTCTGAGCGAGGCCTAAGGTCCTACTTTTCCAACACGCTCCTGGTGAGTCTAATGCAGCTGATGTGCACACTACACTTAGGAGCAAGGCACTAGGGCTTGCAAAGACACCAACACATCTTGCCAGATTTAGAGCAAGAATGATGAGGGACGGATGGTCCCCTGCTTAGAGAAGGTAATGGAATATGAACACATAGCTGGAGGAAGCATCTCACCACTGCCATTTAGAGACACCAGAGGTCCTGAGGTATGAGGGAGAGGAGGCTGGGAGGTGGGACCTGGCAGGCGTGCTCCAGCGACCTCTGTCAGAGGTCCCTGAAGAAGCCAGAGAGGGAAGGACTCAGAAGACACAGACAGCAGGTGCGGCTGGATTTCCACCCCATTTCCAGAGACAGCATCTCAGCCTAGGCTGCATTCTAGAATCACCTGGAAAGTCTTTTTAAAGTTCTCTCGCACAGGCTGCACCCCAGATCGATTACGGCAGAATCTCTGTGGTAGAGGTAATTTGGTAATGTTTTCAGTTTTCTGAAGCCAGAATGAAGAACCTTAGATTACTAGGGTTTTGAGAACCCCGTATTTCCATAGTTTGATGTTTGGGGCTGGGTAATTCTTTGTTCTGGGGGCCTGTTCTATGCATGTTAGGACATTTAGCAGCATCTGTGTCTTGTGTCTGCCCTAGATGCCGTAGCATCCCCCTCTCCAGCTGTGGCCACCAAAAATGTCTCCAGACATTTCCAAATGTCTCCTTGGGAGCAAAATGGCCTCAGATTGAGAGTCATTAGGTTACAACAACTGAAATTCTGTAGATGAATTTGGTGCTATCTTCTGGTAAAGTAATCTTACCAAAAAAAAGCAGTGGTAACCAGAAAGGTTCAGCAGGAGCATAAGAAAAACAGATCCTCCAAAACAGAAAGTTAACTTTTTCTTCAATCATTAACAATGCTGGTCTTTCTTTTTCCCCTTCTTCCCTCTTTCCTTCCTCTCTTCCTTCCTCTCTTCCTCCCTCCCTCCCTCCCTTCCTTTCTTCCTTCCTTTGCCCCCTTCCTCCCTCTCTTCCTTCCTGCTTCCCTCCTTCCTTCCCTTCCCCTCTCCCTCTCTCCCTTCCTTTCTTCCTTCCTTTGCCCCCTTCCTCCCTCTCTTCCTTCCTGCTTCCCTCCTTCCTTCCCTTCCCCTCTCCCTCTCTCCCTTCCTTTCTTCCTTCCCTCATTGAATATTTATTGAGCACCTAAGATGTTAGGTACTGTTTTGGGTGCTAGGAATTGTCCATGCCCACCAGCCAAATACCTCCAGGAGTGTGCATATAATATAAATTAAAAGTTAGATTTACTCAGCCTGTTGCAGCAAGAGACTCCTTACCCCATGGGATAAGAAGGAGTTAGGAGAGGCTTATATAGGATTTGGGCTTATTTTGGGTGATTTTGGGGAGAGTTCCAAGAAGTGGAGGTCAGTCTGTTTTGAACTGGGTGCTGTTAGAAAGAGGCAGTTTGGTGTCTGTGTATGTTCAGAACTTTCCTCCAGGCAGTAGAGGAATGGAGCAAGACTAGACCCATCACTGGAGAGGAAGCAGTCACTCACGTTAGCCGGGATGGGAAGCGTGGTCACTTTCGTGGTCGCAGTGTCTTTATTTTGTCTGTTCAGGCGTGATTGCAGAGCGGGCTTGCTTCTGTCTTCCTTCACAGAATAGGCTGGTATTCTGTGAAACAGCTCCTGCGCCTTGGGGCTACGCTGCATGTCCAGTTCATATTTTAACCTTGCTCACACCTTGTACGGGGGCTGGCACATGGTGTCATGCAGTAAACACTTGACAAATTGCATTGAATTCACAGCCACAAGAAGTAACATGGACTGGCTGATAGTGTTGGTTAGTGAATTGGTACATGGATGAACTCTGACCCTATGAGACCAGCTAAACCAGAGTCAGTGAGCAGAGAGGTTGGGAGAAGTGTGATGCCATGGAGAATGGCATCTGATGAGTTGACTTTCCAAGAGGATCTCAACAAGTCAGGTCAGCGTCAGCAAGTGAAATTTGACTGTAACAAACAAAGCCTGTGTTCAGATGCAAATGACTGCTGGGCAAGAACAAGATGGGAGAGCTTCGGTTGGAGATGACCCCACTAAATAGCTGTTCTCAAATGTTAGAGCCTTTGCTTTTATTTCCAAGGGAAGATAAATTAAATTTAGAAAGGTGGGGAGTATTATAACAGCCTGAATTGAGCAAGGTTGATAGGGAGCAATCTGAGACATCTTATGTTTATCAATCCTTCTGAATGGTGCCGTGAGTCCACGAAGTAGGAATTTGGGAAGAAAGGGAAAGCTGGATCAGGGGGGTGGGGCAGAGCTTCACTGTGCGTGAGAGAGCGGAAGTGTCTGCCCGCAGGATGGAGAGGGAAGAGAGAGCACAGAGGACCTCGTGCCAGGCAGGCCTGGTGCTGAAAACTTGGTTTGCTTTTATTTGAAAGTCTCATTTAATTGGTAGTGAGAAAAAGAATATTTCTGAATATATAAGCTCTCCTTTAAAAAATATATATTTATTTACATATTCGTATATTAGTGATTTTATAGTCATAAAAATAATACAAACACAGTTTGAAATAACTGAAAAATAGAAAAAAGAAGATTGCCTATATTCCTTCTACTTTACCATAGTTTGTAGTTTCTTTCAGTTTTTTCCCTTTAAAAAAAGTATTTGTGACTTCATTGTAGAGAAAATTTTGTATACTACTTAGTTAACTTAACATACTATTATTTAAAAAATTTTTATCCACATGGCTTTGAAATTGTTATTTTTAAATTTGTGATTAATCTATTAACTTTTATTTTAGTATTGAAACTTTTATTGAGATAATTATAAGCTAAAAGGCAATTGTAAGAAATAATAGAGAGAAATCTTGTGTACCTTTTACTGTGTTCCCCCAACGGTAAATCTTGCAAAACTGTAAAACAATATCACAATCAAAATGCTGACATGGTGGGCTGGCCCCGTGGCTTAGGGGTTAAGTGCGTGCTCTCCGCTACTGGCAGCCAGGGTCTGGATCCCGGGCGCGCACCGACGCACCGCTTCTCCGGCCATGCTGAGGCCGCGTCCCACGTACAGCACCTAGAAGGATGTGCAACTATGACATACAACTATCTACTGGGGCTTTGGGGAAAAAAAAAAAGGAGGGGGATTGTCAATAGATGTTAGCTCAGAGCCGGTCTTCCTCAGCAAAAAGAGGAGGATTAGCACGGATATTAGCTCAGGGCTGATCTTCCTCACAAAAAAAAAAAAAAATGTTGACATTGAGGGGCCAGCCCAGTGGTGCAAGTGGTTAAGTGTGCGCGCTCTGCTGTGGTGGCCTGGGGTTTGCCGGTTCAGATCCCAGGCGCGCACTGACGCACTGCTTGGCAAGCCGTGCTGTGGCGGCATCCCATATAAAATGGAGGAAGATGGGCACAGATGTTAGCCCAGGGCCAGTCTTCCTCAGCAAAAAAAGAGGAGGATTGGCAGATGTTAGCATAGGGCTGATCTCCTCACCAAAAAAAAAAAAAAAAAAACTGTTGACACTGAAGGGCCAGCCATCCCCGTAGCGTGGTGGTGAAGTTCCTCACATTTCACTTCAGTGGCCCGGGTTCGTGGGTTTTGGATCCGGAGCACAGACCTACACCACTCATCAGCCATGCTGTGGTAGCGACCCGCATATAAAGTAGAGGAAGATTGGCACAGATGTTAGCTCAGGGCTAATCTTCCTCAGCAAGAAAGAAAAAAAAAAGGTTGACATCGATACACTCTGCTAATTTATTCAGATTTTCCCAGTTTTACTTGTCCTTGTTTGTGTATATTTAGTTCCATACAGTTTTATCACCTGTGTAGGTTCCTGCATCTACCACTATGGCCGAGATACAGAACATTTCTGTTGCAGCAGGGGTCCCTCATGTTGCCCTTTTATAAAAGTTATAACTACAGCCACCTCCCACCCATACGCCCTCCCCCATCCCTGTCCCTAAGCTTAGCAACCAGTAATCTAAAATTTTGTCATTTCAAGGATGTTATATATATGGAATCACACAGTATATAATCTTTTAGATTGGGTTTTTCATTCAGCATAATTCTCTGGAAATTCATCCAAGTTGTTGCGTGTGTCAGTAGTTCATTCCTTTTTGTTGCTGAGTGGTATTCCATGATACAGATGTACAACATTCATCCACTGAAGGACATCGGGGTTGTTTCCAGTTTTTGGCTGTTACAAATAAAGCTGCTAGGAACATTTGTGTACAGGTTTTCGTGTGAACTCAGGTTTTCATTTCTCTGGGATAAATGCCTAAGAGTCCAGTTGCTGGGTCGTATGGTAATTGCGTGTTTAGTTTTATAAGAAACTGCCAAACTATTTTCCAGCATGACTGTACCACTTTACATTCCCACCAGCAATGGATGAGTGATCAAGTTTCTCTGCGTTTAGTGTTGTCCCTGTTTGTCATGTTAGCCTTTCTGACAGGTGTGTGGTGATGTCTCATTGTGTTTTTAATTTGCGTTTCCTCAGTGGCTAATGAGATTGAACATCTTCTCATATGCTTATTTGCCACCTGAATATCTTCTTCAGTGATGTCTGTTCATGTCTTTTGCCCATTTTCTAATTGGATTGTTTGTTTTTTACTGTTGAGTTTTAAGAGTTTATTTCTATATATTCTAGATACTAGTTCTTTCTCTGATATGTGATTTTCAAATAATTTCTCCTAATCTGTAGCTTGTTTTTCATCCTCTTTCACATGGGATTTTGCAAAGCACAAGTTTTTATTTTGATGATGTATAATTCATCAAATTATCCTCTTATGGCTCATGTGTTTGGCATCAAGTCTAAGAACTCTTTGCCTACCTCTAGATCGAGAATATTTTTTCCTATGTTTTTTTTCTAAAAGTTTTCTAGTTTTACACTTTACAATTGAGTTTGTGATCAATTAGGAGTTAATTTTTGTATAAGGCCTGAGGTTTAGGTTGACATCCGTTTCTTTGTCTGTGGATGTCCATTTGCTCCAGCGCCATTTGTTGAAGAGGCTGTCCTTCCTCGATTGAATCGCTTTTGAATCTTTGTCAAAAATCAGTTGGGCATATTTGTATAGGTTTATTTCCAGATTCTATATTCTGTTTCATTGCTCCATATGACTATACCTCTACCAATATCACACTATGTTAATTATTGTAGCCATGTAATAAGCCTTAATATTGGATAGAGTTGTGCCTCTATTTTTTGAAAAAGAAGAATTAAGCTATTTGTTAAACTATTTGTTTAAACCATTCTAGGGCCTGTGTCTTCCCGTATGAATTTTAGAATTAGCTTATCTGTGTCTACAAACAGCCGTCTGAGATTTTGACAGGAATTGCGTTAAACCTATAGATCATTTTGGGGAGAAATGACATCTTTACTATGTTGAATCTTCCTGTCCAGGAACATTGTATGTCTCTCCATTTATATAGGTTTTCTTTAATTTCTTTCATCATCCTTTTGGAATCTTCAGTATACAGATTCTATACATGTTTTACTAGGTATTTCATTTTCTTTTGAGCAATTGTAAATGGTATTGTTTTTCATTTTAGTTTCTGCATGTTCATTTTTAGTCTACAGAATGAAATTGATTTTTGTGTGTTGATCACATCTCTTGTGACCTTGCTAAACTTGCTTGTTAGTTCTAGGAGTTTGTTTGCTTGTTTTTTTTTAGATTCATTAGAATTTTCTATATGGACGTGTCATCTGCAAATAGAGACAATTTTATTTCTTCCTTTCCAATCTGTACTTCATTTTTAGCACATAAAAATTAATTAATGTGCCAATACTGGACATTTAGATTCTTAGTGGAATGACTGGGACAAAAAAGACGATCATTTTAGTGGCTTTTAATATTTCTTATTAAAAATGTTTCCAAAGGCACAGTGTCAGTTTTTTACTCCCATCAGCATTTCATAAACTGTTTTGCAGCATACTTCTCAGCTTTGAGAGTTATCTTTTTAATGTTTTTAGATAAAATAAGTTTTTACTTTGAGAGAAGAATAAGGTACATCAGTTTATATCCATATGTACTTATTTGATTAATTCTGAGGTTAAACAGCTCCCTTTCTCCTCCCCATTCTTTTCATTTTAACAGATGTTGTACATTCAGGCCTTACCGGGACCTTTCCTTTCAATGGATCCATCTTCATTTGTGGATGTTTATGGATATATTGCTACCCCTCGAATTTGGAAACAAAAGTCATCATTAATATGGCGTCTTGGCCCTGCATATCTCTTCGAAGAAACCATTTCAATGGAAACTCTGGAAGTTATTGACAAACTTGGCCCAAGATACTGTGGTAACTTCCAAGCGGTGCATGCCCAAGGTATGGAGTGTTTTGATTTATAATGATCTTGCTGATATTATTTTTTAAATAGACATTCAGTTATTTATAGTGTATTTATAAAGAATAAACTCAACACAGGTCAGTCATTAGGGAAGACTTCTGTAATTGGATCATTATATATTTACAACCTAACAGAAAATGTCGCAGAAAAGGAAATGACAATATCCCGTAGATTTCAACTCTAAAGCACATAATGGAGGCAAGGGGGTGGGTAGTACCATCATCAAAGAAAGAGAGAAGAGAATGAGATAAATAAGTTACATTCCTTTTAATGAAGAAGCTTTTTAACTAAAGTATACTGTTGTCTTCAATTATTAAACAGGCAGACAAAACATCCACATTTTCGTTATTGATTGTCGGCTGTTCAAGCAGGGAGCATTGCTCTCTGTGCTCTGTCACGTCAAGGGGTCTGCTCCCATCTGCGAAGGATGATAAATGAATCTATGTATGGAAGCCTTGTGCATGGTGAAGGGCGATTGAGCGCTATTGAGTGTTTCTCTCTCCAGGCCTCACATCTTCTTTGAATTTCATTTCCTCTGGCAAATGGCACTGGCCAGAGCAATGTAATGAAGTCAGCTGATGTTTTGCTGACTCGATTCATCCATGCTTCTCCAGTGGCACATGTGGCTCTCCCTGACTCAGGGAGCAGAGTGCTAATTCCAAGTGGGATGTTCACCATGGACAAACAGCTTGTTGAAAATCTTAGGGCTTTCAGCTCAGCCTATTTCTTTTTTTATAAGTCAGCTTTCTTATCACTTAGCATTTTGGTTTTGGAGAGCAAGGTTTCATCCTTAACAGATGTCTCAAGCTTTAGTAATTCACAGCTGGAGAGCCTCTATTTTATAGTAGAGTTAATCTTGTGACATTCCTCCACGGTTTTCTGTAAGTGTCAGAGAAGCACAGGTAGGGGCAAAACATGTGACATTGAAACGTACAACATATAAACACACAAGGTAACAACCTGTAACAACATAGGAACATTCTCTCACTGATCACTTTGCACGCAGCAGTAGATATTTACTTCTCTGAGGATTAATTTCCTTCTCTGTAAAGTAACAGTAAAAATGATTGAAGATGTGCTGTTTTAGGAGAGGACCCTGGTGTGGAAGCCACGCCCCTGGTTGCCGAGGAGAGTCTTTCCTGCGGCCTCCACATGGCCAGCTCCTCCACCACCACCGTTGCAGACATCAGGAACGACTACAACGAGGTCGACAGCCGCCTGATTGCCAAAGAGGTGCGTGTGCCTTCCGGCTTCACCTGCTGCCCCTTTGGAATCACGATCTCACGGCTCCCTTCAGCTTTCAATGAGTAAATGGACACTAATTATGTTCGCACGGTGTAGATGGATATGCACGAGAGTGCTTCCCACTTCCCTGGTTAAAATACTCTGTGCCTCCCCACCCATTAGATTCCCCCAAGACCAAACCTTTTATTTGTAATTGCTCAGAGAAGAAAGTGGGTGCTCTTCATTCTTCACCATAGAGCAAGAACAAAAGGAATATTTAGAAAACCTTTGTGACACTGAGAACCCCAATGAGCTTCCATTTTCTGCGAGCTACTGACCCCCGAACATTGCAAAATGCTCTTTGACTTGCTGTGTTTGTTTGTTTGTTTGTTTATTTATTTATTTATTTTGGTGAGGAAGATCAGCCCTGAGCTAACATCCAATGCCAATCCTCCTCTTTTTGCTGAGGAAGATTGGCCCTGGGCTAACATCTGTGCCCATCTTCCTCTACTTTATATGGGATGCCACCACAGCATGGCTTGACAAGCGGTGCGTCGGTGCGCGCCCAGGATCTGAACCCGCGAACCCCGGGCCGCCGCAGCATAGTGCACGCACTCAGCTGCTGCGCCACCGGGCCGGCCCCTGCTGTGTTTATTTTAAACAGCAAATTTGCAAAACAGCAAGCAGACACACTTGTAGATGAAGATGCCATTAGATTTGCCATTTCCTAATTCCTTCTTAAAGAGCCGAAATTGGGCTGATTTGTTGACATTCTCTCCACCCTCACAGATGGAGGGCCACTTCCCTTTACTGAGGAGGAGGGATCAGGGATTAGGTCCTGCTGAGAATCGAAGCTGTGCCTTACCAGCAGAGGAGGCCAGGATCCCCAACTTCCTGGCCCCTTGAAACCAGCGAGGCTGGGCTTGCAGAGGCTGGGCACCTCTAGACTGGGAGGGAGGCAGCCCTGCCTTCACAGCACTGTTTCACCTCCAAGTCATCTGGTCTTTCTCCCCCTCATTAGCTGTTACTGTGAGCACGTGGGGCACAACTGCATAACTGAAGCTGCTGCCTTGTGATTAAGCCACAGCCTGGGAGGCAGGACATGGGAACCTGAATTTTAGCTTCGGTCCCCTTGACGTTGGTTCAGTTATTATTCATTCACTGAGAGCCAGCACGGGGCCAGGCCTCGGGGTGCCTGGCCTCCAGAAGCTCGTGGACAAGACCTCTTCTTTTCCAGGAAAGTTTCTCAGGACTAATTGCTGCCAATTTCTCTAGATGAACGTTTCATCCCGTGACAATACCACGCCCGTGTTCTTGCTGAGAAATTGTGCCGGCCACCTCTCGGGTTCTCTTCGAACCATTGGAGCTGTGGCTGTGGGCCCGTTAGGTATGTCAGACCGTGAACTTTTACTGCTCTTTGGGAGGAAGGGCTGGTGGCTGTCATCGCTTGTGCAGCCTGGGATTCTGGAGCGGCAGGCAGGACAGAGCGTGTTGGGGAGCCAGGAAGGGGAGGTCAAGAGCTGGGAGTTAATCCTGCCAGAGAGTTGGCCTCCCACGCTGCATACGGGTCGGTTCACCTTGCTGCCTCTGACGATTCGGAGTGAACTCAGCTGCCACCAGGCTGGCATCTGTGCACAACGGAGGCTGTCTAGTGAGCACAGTGGGGCCTTTGAGCGGGGGCAATGGCTGTGGTTGTTTGGGTGAAAACAACAGCCAGCAACGGTGGGTGGCCTCGCAATCGGGCAAGAGCTGAGCAGCACTTTGGTTCAGGATCTAGAGAGCAGACATGAGCCGGAGGTTGTCAGAGCTGCCAGCACACTGAGGCTCAGAGGGCAACCGGCTCATCTGGCACTCTGGGCTGAGACAGAGTGTTTCAGCTGTCTGGTGACCCAGACAGCATTCAGCACAGGACTCTCCGTGACCTAAGACCTTCAAAGCCCCCTGCCCTTGCTCGCAGCCTGTCCCACGTGCACAGGCCCCTCTGCTGTGAGTGGACAGTGGCACTGGCAGCTCATTAGCCCTTGCATGCTGCTGGCGACTTTCCACTGCAGTGAAGCTGTGACGTGCTGACGGCCTGTCCTTTCGTCCCACACAGGGGTAAGGGTGTTCCACTCCAGCCCTGCTGCCAGCAGCCTGGACTTCATTGGTGGGCCCGCCATCCTCCTGGGTCTCATTTCCTTAGCAACGGATGACCACACCATGTACGCGGCTGTGAAAGTCCTGCACTTGGTCCTGACCAGCAATGTCATGTGTGACCGCCTGATGCAGCACATCTGTGGGTACCAGGTAATCCCACCTCTCGCGTGAGCCTGGGACTCCCCAAGGGGCTATTTTCCCCGAGGAGCAGGGAAGAGCTCTGTTAGCCCCAGTGGACATTCCCTTCAGCATGACTTCTAGAGAAAGGAAGCTGAAAGCCCCCAGGCCCCAAGCCCAGCATCACCACAGCAGAGGGCCAGGTGACAGCCAGCCAGCCAGAGAGGGGCTCTCATCAGGATGGTGTGCTCACCTGCCTGTGGCTACCAGCACCTTTCAGTGAAGAATTCAAGAATCATTTGTGACCCTCCACTTTGCATCTAGCGTGATGGCTAAGAGCCCAGGCCACAGACTGCTGGGTTTGAATCCTACCTCTTCCTTGAACTTGCTGTTTAACCTTGGATGAGTTACTCACCCTCTCTGTCTCAGTTTCCCCACCTGTATGATATGGACCATCATGTCTCCCGAATCATGAGGTTCCAGTGAGGACTAGACGATTTAATACAAGTGAAGGGCTCAGAATTATGTCTGGTCCAGAATATGTGCTCTATAGATGTTAGCTATCTTTAGCTCTTAATCTTTCTGTGCCTCAGCTCTACTGTGTGTGAAATGGGAATAATAACAGCACCTATCATGTGGGGTTGTGAAGGTTGAGTGAGTTAACACATGCTGAGTGCTCAGAAGTGTGCCCGCTCAGAGTAGCTGCAGTGTGCGTGCTCACCGTGATTGTCATTGCTGCTTAGTATTCATAAAGTCACTGCCCTGGGGTAATGTCCCGCCTGGCTGGGAGGCAGCCAATGAAGGAACCACGAGGGGGAGGGCTAGGGTTGAAGGGTAGACTAGGACATGTGGTTGTCTCCTCCTGGTGCAGGGAGAGAGCCTCTCTGTCTCTTTGGCCCGAGTCGGGTCTGAGAAGAAGAAAACTGTATGGTGTCACTTCAGGCCCCTCCCTCCCACCTGGACTGGTGCCACAGCTGGACAGTAGCCCCTTCCTCCTGCCTCTGTCTCCCAGCCCATTGATGGCAGCCGCAGTTCTGCGTTACAGACCCCATGATACCTCTCCCCTACATAAGCTCTTCAAAGGCGTCTAGTCACTCACTGATACAATATCCCTAAGTCCTTAGACTGGTTTCCAAAGGCCTTTCAGACTGGCCCCCAACCTGTTCTTCCAGTCCCACCTCCCGCCCAGCCAATGGTTCACACCCTACGCTCCCACCTCCCCAAATCCTGCGTGGCCAGGTTGCTAAACACATCGTGTGACTTTGTGTTCCTGTGCCCTCGGCTCGGAGTACTATCTCCCTCTCCTCCTGGGTACACTCCTTCTTCTCTTCCCAGGTCCAGCTCAGATAGCAAGAGGGATATCTCCCCGACCCCTGAGCTGGGTGTGCGACCATCTCCTGGCTGCCATAGCACTGTGCACATGCCCGGTGCTAAGCGCTCTCACACGGTGCTGTCATGACTACTCTGCTCATCTCCACCAGACTGCAGTTGTCTAAGGCCTGGGCTTTTCTTGTTCTTTGCCAGTGTATTACTGAGACCAAACAGTCATTCAGTAAATATTTTGGTAATAAGTGAATGGATGTATCTGGGTTTATATTAAAACTCAAGAATGGGGGCTCTTGGTATATAAATGTTTTCTTTGATTATATTATTAAAGGCAGTAGTAGTGGGATTTGTTCTCATTCAGCACATAGATATCTGCTACGGTGAGAGATTTTCATAGTTATTTTGAGCATTTCCAAAAAGGTACAAAGCGGTTCCTGCTCTCATGGGTGTATCCAGAAGGATAAAATAAGACAAATACCAAAATAATTTTAGTATAAATCAAACGCAGTAAGTGTCTGAGCATCTCTTCCAGAACCACCACACTCTGTGTGTGACTTGGTGGTTGCCCAGCCATCTTCCCAGAAACTCTGAGCTCCTTAGAAGGCTGGGACCCTCTGGGGTCACCACTGTCTCCTCACTGCCATGTGTGGGGCCTGGTACATCGTGAGTTCTCAATGAGTGCTCATTTCATGGACGCTGTGCCTTGAGAGCGATAAACGTGCCACAGAGCTGCAAAGGCGGCCAGTATTACATGTTGGTAGGGGCGTCAAAGAGAGCTTCATTGAGAAGAAAGGTGATCGGAGGAGGCCCAGAAGACTGGGTTGGCTGCGTTTTTCAGGAAGCGATGGTAGAAGCAAGGAGTGGGCCATGAATCTATTTACTCGACTCATATTGACTGAGCACCTCCTAATAGCCAGGCACTGTGTTAGGCACGAGGGAAATGGATGAACAAAATGGGTTTAATGTCTCCCTCCATGGAACTTACTGTCTGCTTCAGACTGTTTGGGCTGTTATACTAAAAATATATGTGGCTTATAAACCATAGACTGGGAGGCGGGGAAGTCCAAGATCAAGAGGCTGGCACATTCGATGTCTGGTGAGAGCCTGCTTCCTGGTTCGTAGATGGCCATCTTTTCACTGTGTCCTCACAAGGTAGAAGAGGCAAGGGAGCTCTCTGAGGTCTCTTTTATAAGGGCACTGATCCCACTCACAAGGGCTCTGTCCTCATAACCTAATCACCTCCCAAAGGCCCACCTCCTAATATCGTCACACTGGGGATTAGGTTTCAAGAGATGAATTTAGAGGACGCAAACATTCAGTTTTCAGCACTGTCTAGTGGGGTGGATGGAAAAATATTATTGTCATGAGGCAAAGACTTCCAAATACTTTGTTTGAGTAAAAAACCCATCAGATTCAGAGATTTATTGTATCTGTACACATGAAGGCAGAAGAAGGAGATTTTTAAATTCTTCTTATAGCTTACAAAAAGAAACATTTCAAATATTTATGTCTTTAAGGAAAATCAGATGGAAAGACTGAGCAGTGGTAGGGGAGGTGAGAAATGGCAGATTTGAGTCAAGAAACAAGATTATTATTATTATTTTTTCCTTCCCTGGCAACTCTATAAAATAGAACCCTTGTCCTACCTTATTCCTTTCTAGACACTTTTTCTTGCTTTCTGTTTCTTCACAACCTGAAGGCCCAATCGGCGTGACGTGTGTTTACTTGTTTCCATGTTTGTGATCTGCTTCACCGTCTGGGCACATGCTCCGTGAGGGCAGGACCAGGGCTGCTCGTTCACGGCTGCACCCTAAGAGCACGTGGCAGACAGGAGGTGCTTGGTAAGGATTTGTGGAATGAATCAGTGAGAGAAAACAAGGTCTTCAATGAAATGGCTTGCTCAGGAGTGGATCTAATCATTTTTTACCATTTTTTAGACTTCTACTTTGCCAGTTTGCTGGCAAAAAAGTATTTATCATCCTCTTCTCAAACTAGGCAACATCCAGCCAAGTTTTATAAGATGGATTTTCATAGCATAGTAAAGAAGGAGGATAATGTTACAGACTAACTTGAGGGATCCAGCATGGGTTTCTCCACATGGCTGGGAGGAAAGGGCAATTGTGGGTCAGAGGCACAGCAAGCCTGGATGGAGAAGGAGAGAAAGACTAGCTCTGGACTTTATCTCAGAGGAGATGAGCAATCACAAGAAGACTTGGAACAGGGAAATGGAATGATTGATGTTTTAGAATGACCTTTGACACCAGTGTGGAAGATGGGTCGGAGGGGTGCAATTTGAGCCGGGGACTGAGATAGACTTCAATATGCTGTGAGGCTACATTTCTGACCTGGGGATCCTCGAGATCTCTGTGAGCAGCCTGGGCAGATAGCACCGGAAAGCAGCCAGTGCTGTGTGCCGAGTGCTTCAGACAGGAAGGTGGGAAGACATTTGGGACATGCAAGTCTGAAATGTCTGTGAGACATCAAAGGTAACTGTCAAGTGGGATAGATGGTTCTGTGGCTTAAAGGGGCTGGAAGTATAAATGTGAGAGTTGTCAGTTTCACCATGATGACATTTGATCCAAGGAAACTGTTGAAATAGGCAAAGAGAAGGATTAGGGAGAGAAGAGAAGAGGACTGAGGAGGAAGCAATGAGGAGCTAACCACACAGAGGTAGGAAATATGATTAAAACCCAACAAAGGAGATTGAGAAGAAAGAAGAGAGAAACTGAAGAAAATTTTGTCAAAGAAACTGAAAGAAGACAGGGTTTCAAGAAAGTGGATGTGGTCTAACAATGCTAAATGCTGATAAATAGTGAAGCCAACTAATGACAGAGATGTCCCTGTTGGATTTGGCACCTGGAAGTCATTGGTGCCCTTCCCAAGGCAGGCGGACAGGTGGAGGCAGCAGCCAGCTGAAGGGGGCTGAAGAGAGAACGTGAGGAGAGGATGGAGCCAGAGTATGCCTAAGGTGCTTTCTAGGAGTTTGCCTCTGAAGATGAGTAGAGAAATGGGGTCCAAACTAGAGGTATCAGGGCTCAAGGGAGGGTTATTTTTAAGATGAGAAATAGTACAGCATATTTGTCAGTGGAAGGAGATGACAGAAGAGAGAGCGATGGATGGAGCTAGAAGAGAAGAGCTATCCTGAGGAGCAGTGTCCTTGAGAAGGCGAGACGTGGGTTCCAGGTGGATGGAGACCCTGCTTGTGACAGGAAGGAATGCAATACCTTTGTATTTGTGGATTTGGAGGTGGGAAGACGAGAGTGCTCACGTCTAATGGAGTCTATCTTCTCAACAGAGTACGAGGTCGGTGGTGGAGGGGAAGGAAGGTTGGGGGAGAGGGGAGAAGAGATGCAATTCTCATCCTTAGGATGAAGAAAAGCAGTTTACTAGAAAAACAGAATTGGACTACCAGGTCAAATGAGTACTAATTTGACATTTGACACTATTAATGTAAAATGAAGCCAGTCAGCCTGAGTGTGCGATTTTTCTCAAGCAACGTTCAGCCATCCTAATTCTATCCTGGTGGACATGGGGGGAGTGGTCAGATTTCAGATATGTCAAAGAAGTGACTGGAACAGTCTGAAAAGATATTGTGTATTTACTGACCACAATTGTCTTAGCCAGTTTGGGCTGCTATAACAGAATACCATAGACTGGGTGGCTTATAAACAACAGAAATTTATTTTCTCACAGTTCTGGAGGCTGGTAAGTCCAAGATCAGGGTGCCTGGTTGGGTGAGGGCCCTCTTCTGGATTGTATGTAGATGGCCAACTTCTCATTGTATCCTCACATGGCAAAGAGCAGAGAGAGAAAGCAAGCTCTCTTGTGACTCTTATACGGGCACTAATCCCATTTATGAGAGCTCCACCCTCATGACCTCATCTAACCCTAATTATATCCCAAAGGACCAACCTCCAAATACCATGATACTGGGGGATAGAGTTTCAACCAATTTTGGGAGGACACAAACGTTCAGTCCAAAACAACAAGCAAGACTTCCCAATGGCACATTGACAGAGGGTGTCTAGGGGGACAGGGAGAAGGGGTGGACTGTGTCAGATCCAGGCACAGGGAATCAAGCTGTGGATGAGCTGAGGTGAGAATTCAGATGAGTGGATAAGAACCCAGATGTTCATGGATGGCTGGGCAGCCTGACTCTTGTGTGACTGAGGTCAACAGAGACATACGCCTAGGTGAGATCCATCTTCTTAGCCTCTGAGATAGGTGTGGGCCACTGGGATCCCAGTGCCTCCATCCTGGTATGGATGCCTGCATGTTTGCTAGTTTCCCATGGCCTTCCACAGTAGGATGGCCGTCAGTGGCTGCAGCCTGAAGTGATGCTCGATGTAACTGAGTTCATGAGTAGGTGCTGGCTTCCTGGTGATACAGCAACCTTTATGGGATGGTTATGAATGTAGAATCTGGTAAAGGAAAATGAGAAAGAGCGTTCAGAAATGTAGGAGGCAACCAGGAAAGAGTGGCTTTCCGGAAACACAGAAGATTCAGGAAGGAGCAGGGGGTCTCCAGTGAGAAGTCAAATCACACGAGTACAGAAAGGTGAACGCTACTGGGGGAGCAGCCACAGAAGTTGGTGTATGTTTTTCTTCTGAGAACGGGAACGAAGGAGGTGGCACCAGAGAGCAGAGGGTTTCAGGCTGGGCTGACCAAGGTGTGGTAGGAACAATCAGGTGAAGGAGAAAGAGTCCTCATGCTGTATTCATGAGTAAATTGCCTTGTGTTTTAACCTTTCCAGATAATGGCGTTTCTGCTGAGGAAAAAGACTTGTCTCCTGAACCATCGCATTTTTCAGCTGATCCTCTCCATTGCTGGCACTGCAGAACTGGGCTTCGGGTCATCTGCCATCACCAACGTTGGCATCTTCCAGCACATCCTCTGCAACTTTGAGGTGAACTGGAGACTGGTCATTAGCCCTACAGGCGTGTGTGTGTGTGTGTGTGTGATGATAAAGAAAGGCCGGAACTTCCTCTAACCCAGCAGGCCAGCTTCCTCCATGGTCATGACGGTAGTGAGAGGGAAAACGACAAAGGCTTTGGAGCCTAGAGGCCTTGGGTTATAACTAAATCCTACCACCTATGCGCTGTGTGGCCTCGGGCAAGTCTCTTGACTTCTCTGAGTTTCAGTCTTCTCATGTGTGAAATGGAGACCATCGTGTCTCCCTCACAAGCTGGTGTGGGGGTCAGACCAGAAACGATTTCCAAGCTGGGGAGTACCATATATATATACATTCCTTTGCTCTTTACAAAGGCTCCTATAAAGGGATGACTGAGAAGCTGAGGGCAAGCCTGAGGCTAAGTGAGGACTGTTGCACAGTATCTTTCGGTGGATCAATCCATTCACAAAGCATTGTTTACAGATTTCCCCTTGGGGAGGGGCACTGGCAGTGTCCTGGAGACACGGTGATAACAAGGACCCAGCCCTCCACCATCATTTGGGCCCAGGACATGACAAAGGTGACACTGCAATGTGCTGGGTGCCAGCGAGGCAGGTGCAGGGCATCTGGGGAGTGGGAGTGAGAGAACAGTCAGGTCAGATTTATGGATCAGGGACTCTGGGGCTGAGTCTGGCAGAACGCATTCAGTGGGAGAACATTCCAGGTGGAGTGTATGCTATTTGCACACATGTAGGGATGAGAGCAATCATGGGATTTGAGAGCGAATGGCTTAGAGGGCCACTGCAGGGATGTTTGTTGCAGGTAGAGGGGAGGCTGGAAGGGGAGGGCAAGAAGACGGCTGATGATGCTAAGCTGCAGGACATGCCCGTTAGCCAACACATGTTGGGGGTCCGCGGAAGTATTTTAAAACTGTTCTTTTAAATTAAAAAATAATATATTCTTGTTATAGAATATTTTAAATTACAGAAGAGTAGAGGGAAAAATTCCTATTTCTGAGACCCAGACATCTGTTGTCAACCTTAAATGCATCCATTTTTGGTACTTTCTGTGCATAGTATATATTTTTTTATCATAGTCACAATCACAATGTAGGTATTATTTTGAGTTTTGCCTTTTCTCACATAGCATAAACAGTTTAAAATCTTTATTACGGAAGTTTACAAGCATTGTTCTGAGGTCAGAATAATAATCTGTCTTGTAGAGAGTTCCTGGTTTCTTCATCATTCTCCTAGTGTCACATTCTTAGATTATTCCTATGTGTTGTTGTTATGAACGAATGCTGTTATAGACAGCATTTATGTGTATACATTTCCCCCACTTTTGAAAATATTTCTTTATAGTGATTAAAGTTGAATTATTAGGATACAGGCTTTATAAACAATTTTTCGTTTGCTGATAAATTTTGCTAAACTGCTGATACATGAGAGAGTTAAGTAAAGAATGATATGTTAGAATTTTATTTTAGGCCTATTACTCTGGTGGTGAGAGCCCCAGGCAGGGAGATAAGTCATGTAATTGTTGCAGAAATCCAGGTGGAAGATTTCGAAACCTGAATTGCAGCAAAGGCAGTGGGATAAAGAGGAGGACCAGTGAGGATCATAGTTTAAGTTAGAAGTGACTTAGAACTGAACAACAAGGAAAACACTGTGCAGTCATGTGTCGCTTAACGAAGAGGATATGTGCTGAGAAATGCATTGTTAGGTGATTTCGTCGTTGTGCAAACATCACAGAGTGTACTTACACAAACCTGTATGGTATATAGCCTACTACACACCTAGGCTGTATGATACTAATCTTATAGGACTATGGTTGTATATGCGATCCGTTGTTGACTGAAACGTCATGTGGCGCGTGACTGTAGATCAAAACAGGGAGAAGGGTGCCGCTGCAAGCTGGACTTAGAGGAAAATTTATAGTTATCAATGTATATATTAGAAAAAGAGAACATTTTAAATTAATGCATGGAGCCTCCAAATCAAGAAGTTAGAAGGACCAAAAAAAAGAAAAAATCAACCAAAAAACCCCACAAAACTCCCCCAAACAAACAAACAAAAGCAAAATTCAGAGAAAGAAGGAAGGAAAAACAAAGGCAAGAAGATAAATTAATTAAATAGGAAAGAAAAAACAGAAAGGATCAACAAGGCCGATGACTGGTTCTCATAAAACAGACAAACCTGTGGAGACTGGTCAAGAAAAAAGACAGGAGGCACGACTCGGTTAAATTAGGAAGGCAGAGAGGGAATGAGCAGGGAGGAAGGAGCAATTGGAAAGGCAACAAGAAAACAAGGCAGCAACTTCGCGCCAAGAAATGTGAACACTTAGCTCATTTGAATAAAATCTCCAAGAAAATTTACGTCTCCAAAACTCACACTTCCCAAAAATAAAAAAATCAAATGGTCCCATGACTATCATATAGATGGAATCACGGATTTAAAATGTTACAAACAAACAAACAACACCCACAAGGAAAGTCCAGGCCCAGGGCGTCTGTGGGGAGGTTCTACCAGTCAGGAAACGGGCCATTCCAGCCTATAAACTCCTCCACGACACTGAAAGGGGGCACCCGCGGCTTATTTTATGAGCTAATCTTGATACAGAACCAAAAAAGGACAAAGGGAAATGAAAAAGTGCAGGCCAATCTTATTCATAAATATAGCTACAAAAATCCTAAATAAAATAGCAGTTAATCGAGTCAGGCCAGGACGAACACCCTGGACCTGGATTTGAAGCTGAGTGGAAGGATTGTGGAGGGAGCCAGCGAGGCCTGGAGCACGGGCTCCCTGGGCACCATGGGAAAGGAGACGTGTATAAATGGCTGGACTAGCCTGCTAAACAAGGCAGCACGCCTTGGCTGCACAGCCGCCCCTTCTGAAGTGCTATGGCCGTATCAGGCAGCTTGGCTCTCAGGCATTCTTGCCACCAGCCTGGCCGGAGAATTGCCTGTGCAGGAACCCACCGTGCCCCTGCTGCCTGCTCCTGGAATGACCATGGGCACCACCCGACCCCTGCCCTGCCTAGACTACCCCCTCAGGCAAGCTGGAGCTTTTAAAGCTAGGGTTAAGAAAACAAGCAACCAATATAATCCAGAAGCCAAGAAAACAAAGTAAAACAAAATGAAATAAAATAAAACATAAAGATTAGGAGGAGAGAATTCCAAAAAGAAGAGTTTCCCAAATGTCTGCCTACATCAAGTAAAGTATCGGCAGGGATGTAGGCCTTGTATTTGGAGGTCACTTGGAGGTCACTGACAGGCCTAGTGAAAAGTAAATGGCGGGGTCAGAAGTGAGGTGAAGAGGGAAGAGGAGGCTGTGTCGGGGGAAGAGAGAAAATCTCCCTCTGCCCTTTCCCTTAAGGTTCTTCTGGCTGGCCAAATAATCAACAAGACAGGTTAGCAGGAGAAAATAATACCAAGTTTAATAACATGTATACATGGGAGAAAGCAGGGACACTGCGTTTCTCAACACAATAGCAGAAATTCTCGTCTTAAATATCATTTTCAGTCAATGACAAAGGAGGATTTTGGGGGTGGGGGGACTCAGTTACAGGAGATTACCACTAAAGCACAGTAAACAAGAGTAAGGTTTATTATGTAGCTCAAGGCCTCAGCTTCCACATTGATAAGTCACTAGAAATGAGCTCATCCCCCTCTCTTCTCCAAACAGAGAGGGAGATACCTTTACAAATGTAGATTTCCCTTATAAATGTAAATGATTATCTGGCAACTCTTCGCAGGGTCATCCAGAGAATGTGGCCAGAGAGACAGAACTTCTGATAAGAGGGGCTTGTTGGTGCCTTTCCTATTGTAACATTTACCCTACGTTATCTTTACAGCCATCATGATAGATCTGTTCCAGGAAGGAGCCACTATGTCAAATTCTTTAGGCAGTTAGTGGGGGAGGTCAAATGTCCCTAGAAAAAACAACCAAGGTAAAGAGATAGATTTCAGGGTGGCCAAATCCCGATCTCCCACAGCTGGAAGTAGACAGTGGGCTTTTGAAGAAGAAAACAAGAGAGAAGAAAACAGAGGGGTGGGAGCGTCAGGACTTAAGATGGGAGATGAGTCTGATTGCAGGTTGATGGGGAGAAAGCAGTGAAAAATGGTGGTTAAAATACAGGTGGGAGAATCAACTCTTGACGGGACAAGTCCTTGAAGGAGAGGGAGGGTTTGGAGACAAGAGTTACAGGAGAAGGGGTGGGATTCATGACGGCTGGTGTGAAGCAGGGGAGGGGCCGGAGGATGAGAAGCAGGGGAGGGGCAGGAAGTTGGGAAGGAGGGGTGGAGACAGGACATTGAGGGCATTCAAGTCTTAGGCTTTTGGTTTCTTGAAGAAGGGACAGGCTAGCTCATTCTGAAAGTGAGGTGGTCCCAGGGTTGGGGAGAGGGCAGAATTTGACACGTTATCGATTTGATGTTCAAACTAATCTAATCCAGATGTCTTAAAACAGTGCTTAGTACAGGGGTTATGTGACACAGGATAACAACCAAAACATGCAATTATCCATGTTTCCCCAAATTCAGATATTTGGTATTCCGGAAAGTAATTTCTAAAAGAGCTAGGCCGCCTCAAGTGTGCTGTGGTGACTTCTCATTATTCTAATGCTCTGGAAAGGAGATGGGGGTATGCTTTTATGGGAGGGTAAGGGGCATAGTAGCATACTGGATTGGGAGGCTTGTGTCTTACTTTCTCAGTTCTCCAAGTTCCCAGCACGGAGCCTGGCATATCTTTTGTTCAATGACTCCCTTCATGAGGGAATATTCCAAATGTGCAGGGCTCTTGGGGTCCTACAGACACATATGTTGGGTGCCAGGCCTGGCTGCCCCTACCCTCACTGGAGCCACATCAGCCCCTACCAGCTCTCCCAAATGGCAGCTACCTCTGCCCTACCTCTGTGTGTACCGGGCAGTGGTTGTGTTTGCAGGCACTGGAAATCTGTCAGTCTATTTATGGCTTGAGAGCAATCCACGTATTTTACCTAGGTTTACTTGGCATTCACTGAAAAATTTAACAGGTCCTTATTAAGTGCCCACTATGTGGCATGCATGGTGGTAGGCCCTGGGGATTGGAGAGGGGTGATCTCTGCCTTCACAGGCCTCCTGATAAACTTGTGTCCACTGGGGCTCTTTGGCTTTCCCTCTTAAGTAAGAGGCTGGAGCCATGGCTACCTGCTTGGTTCAAGTGAGGTTGATTCTTGACCCTGTGGGTGACTGTCTGCAAGATGTCTGTGGAGGAACACAGTGTGGAGGCAAGAGAGTGGGCTCCTTGGTCAGACAGACCAGGCTTTGAAGCCAGGCTGCCAATTAAAAACCGTGGGGCACGAGGCAAGTTACTCAGTCTCTCTGAGCCTCGCACTTCTTATCTACAGAATGCAGATAATATTATTTTAGGACTTCGATGACCCTTCTTGCCTCCATCAAATAGTATCGTTTGTCAGTGTGAACTCTTTTTGCTGCTAAATGAAAGCCCTCCTGTAATCCCACATCTGAACATTCTAGATTCTGGGCCTTAGGAAATGTCAGTATTCAGAGATGAGAAATATTGGAGCTCTCTGAAGGGAAGTAGAAACAAGGCATAAAGGAATGCCATCAACTTTGCCCCAGAAGGATGCTTAGCAGCGGCCTTTTGTTTCCTAGGAATGACAACAACCTGAGTGATAAACTTCCCTCTGGGAATCTCAGTGCATTTCACCTCTGTGTGTCACTCACAGTCCTGTTGCGCAGGATAGGGGAATGCGGATTTTGCCGCAGGTTTTTAAGGAAGAGAGAACTGAAGAAAGTGTTGCATGCACAAGTTGGTGCGTAGTCCATATAGCATAAAACATGAGAGGTGAGCCCCAGCTTCTAATCCCAGTCCTACCACTTGCTGGTGGTGAGTGCAACCTGTCACTCAACTAGTCTGTCTCAGCCTCTATTTTCTCATCTCTAAAGTGGGAACACTGGTATTTGCCTTATAGGATCCAGTGAGGATGAGATGCGTTTGACGTGTGAACACATGGGCTGTGGGGCCCAGGGCCACGCAGACGTAGGAGATGGTTCATACTCCAACCAGTCCTTGCTTGGAATCTAGAGCCCCAGTGAAGCACCAGGCTGCAGAAGAGATGGGAAAGAGAGGAACAGTGTTTGAGCTTTTACCCGGGAGGGATCCTGTATGTTCTAGGTGGCGGGAGAGCTGGTCGATTCCAGAGCTGGTAAATTGTGTCGGTGATTCTAAGCCAAAGGAGACCACGTCCAGCATCCTATCTGCTCACACTGCCTGGAAACGCTTCTTCGCACACGTCTTGGTTTCACTGTGCGTCTGTTGTCTTCCAGCTCTGGATGAACACTGCAGACAACCTGGAGCTTTCCCTCTTTTCCCATCTTATGGAAATCCTTCGATCACCAAGGTAGGCTGGGCCCTGGCAGCCTGGGGGTTAGAAACAAAGGCTTCATGCCAAGAACAGGGACTGAGAAGGCAGGACAGCCAGTGGCTTAGCAATCACGGCCTTTTCCTACTCCCAGATCACTGGGTCCCCAGGTGCTGGCAAGTCTGTCTCTGTTCATTTGGGTAGCTATAACAAAATATCATAGACTGGGTTGCTTACAAACAACAGAAATTTATTTCTCGCAGTTCTGGAGGCTGGAAGTCTAAGATCAAGGCTCTGACAGATGCGGTATCTGGTGAGAGCCCTCTTCCTGCTTTGCAGACTGCTGTCTTCTCACTATAACCTCACATGGTGGAATGGGTGAGGGGGCTCCCTGGGGTCTCTTTTGTAAGGACACTAATCTCCTTCTTGAGGGCTCCACCCTCATGACCTAAGCGTCTCCCAAAGGCCCCACCTCCAAATACCAGCGCATTTAGGGTTATGTTTCAACATATGAATTATGGGCGGACACAGTCCGTAGCAACGTCCTTCCCAGTGGCTCACATATGTGGGGCAGGTCTGTCCTCTGCTGGTTTTGGGTCTTGAGAGGAGCCTCTCTAGCCCTGGCAACTAGCACCTTCTCAGGGGCTCAGTAAGATGGCCAGCAAGGGAAAACGCTCTCTGTCCCATTTGCCTCCTGACCCACTCTCCCTCTAAGTGCCTTCTCCAAGTCACTTTTTTTAATTAATCACGGCTCTTTTGGTTGCAAGTGGCAGAAATACAACTCGAATCAACTTAAGGAAGGAAGCAAGGGAGGAAACAAGGAGGAGAGGAGAAAGGGAGAAAGGAAGGCGGAGAAGGAGGGAATCTATTGGCTCGTACAACTGAACAGGGCAGATCTTCACACGTGGCTGGTGGCACTCACGCTACCTTATCTGCGATCTGTCACACAGCCTGTCTAGGTTTTCTTTGTGCTGCTTCATCTTGGCAGGCCTTCTTTGATAGCTGCTGAGAGCATCTCCTCCACTCAGCATGGTCAGCAGAGAGAGAGGGCTTCTTCTCACTCGATAGGCCTAGCAATAGGATGGAGTCTCACAGGGCCATCTTGGGTCACATGGCCAGGCCTGGAGCATTACTTCACCTCTGGAGTGGGTGGAAGAGAGTTAGAAAGAGGTAGATCCCAAAGGAAACCAGGGGCTGTGATCAGAATAAGCGAGAAGGTAGGCAAGGAAGCCAATATATCAACCCACCTGCCTCCTCATCTCTTGGGATATTCACACCCATGCCCACCTGCCTCCTCTTGGGTCGGCTTTTCTAGCCATCATTAGCACCTTCAGTGTTTTGACTGTATTTGCAAACATCTTTTCATTCAGCCACTCATTACTGAGTATCTATTACAAACCCATTCCATTTCACACCCAGTTCTTAGTGCTGGAAGTTCAGAGAACAAGACAGTCCTGTGGAGAAGGAATACAGAGAAACGGGCCGCTCAGTGCTGTGATAAGAAAGAGCACAAAAGACGAGGGAGATTATAGGTGGATGAGCTGCATCCTCCCTGCTGAGCCGACGGATGCAAATCACGCACAGAACTGGGCTGGTTCTGCCTTTTGTGTATCAGGGATGGAGGGGCGGCAGAATTTAACATTAGTCCCGAAAAGACAGTTCAGGAAGGAGCAATCCACCCAAATTCACCCTCCTTCACCAGTTTTTTTTTCTTTCCCACTTTCTACTTTCTTTCTGTACCTGTTGTTTTCTGTGAGATGGACATTTACCCTGGGAGCTGTTTTCTTTGGGGGAGTAGAATTTACTGGAAATTGGATTTGTGATTTTCCTAAGGAGGGGGATGTGGATGCTTGAATTCTGTCTCGCTCCCCTTTGACTCTCAGCGGCGTGTGCATCCACTTTGTGGTTTGGGGCTGGCAGGAAGAGCGCACACCCAGACAGGCTCACGAAGGGCCCGCGTCTCTGGCTGTTGGGAAGTGCTCCGCGGTCACGCAAGAGTCTGCTGTCTTTGTTCTGAGTTTTCTGAGACCAGCATTAGTTTTCCCTAAGGCTTGGAATTTAAAAGTCAATAATTGGGGGTTGTCTTTGAAGGCAGCTTCCGGGGGTTGGGGGTGGGGTGGGAGGATGGTGGAAGGGTACAGGAGGCTTGTCCCCGAAGGACTCTGGCACTTGGCAGACACATATTCAATGGGTGTCTGACAGCCTTTTGACAAGTTGCCAAGAGAGCATTGGAGTCAGAGGGCCACAGAGTAAGCCCAGCCTGGGAAATCTTTTTAGCAGAAACATAGCAAATTTGGTTCATTCCAGTAAAAGCTTTTACTGCCCTTCTCCTGGGCTCACAGGGAAGGAGCCCGGAATGCTGAAGTTGCTCACCAGGCAAGGCTTATACCCAAGCTCGTCTTCCTCTTCAATGAGCCGGGCCTCACCCCCTCCAATATCCCCACCATCATTGCCATCCTGGGCTGTCAGCTGAGGGGCCACTTCAGCATCCAAGACTTGCTCAGGTACTGTGACAAGCTTCCCAGTGGGAAGGGCAGAGCCTTGGGACCATTTTATGAGGAAGTATAGGCCCTAGCTCTCTCCTGACCACACTCAACCCAGCATCACTACCCTTCAATGCTGTGGCAGGTTCTATTTCCTTGGAACCTTCTAGGGGTTTCTGTTCAGGGCTGAGAGTTCAGGAAAGGAGTGGGTCTGCTAGACCCCCAGCAGGGCTGTGTGTTCACTGCTCCCTGGTGCTCGGACATACTTACTATGCCAAGAATTCAAGAATTTTCACGAGCACAGCCAACCTCACCAGCTGATGACCCAACATGACTGCCTTCTGTAGACAATCTGACGGACAGTTCCAGCTGGAATGACAGTTAGCCTTTTCCGTCCTCATCACTATCTGTTCTATTGATCTGGCAGAGCTCTAATGAATCCTGACAGATTTTAGAAGTCTCTGGAAATATTGCATTAATCACAGAATAATGTGCTTCCCCTCAAATCCCCCCTTGAAGCTGCATTTGGGTGGGTCTGTGTAGAAAGCCTTCCTGTGTGTTCGTCAGACACGGGTTGAGCCCATGGCTGAGTGTATCCTTCTTTCTCTGCATTAAGAATTGGGCTGTTTGTTGTGTACACCCTCAAGCCTTCATCGGTGAATGAGAGGCAGATCTGCGCGGATGGAGCCCTGGACCCCTCTATGCCTGGTGAGAGACCTTTCCCAGACTCTAGTCTGAAGGCAGCAGGATGGCCCTCAGGGCGCCCCTGAGAGGCACACTTTGTGGGGCCATTTTGCAGAGGGAAGGGCTGAGGCACAGGAAGGAGAAGGCACCCACCAGTGAGTAGTTGTTCCCAAGTAGTAGTTTGTGACGTCATAGTTTTATGATTAGGGTTACAAATCAAGTCAAATTGTATATTCTTCCTACACAAACTAGAATGAATTCAAAGGAGGGCCTCCAGGAGAAAACTCAGTTTCCTATAGCCCAGCAGGTAGGATCCTTCATGCTCCAGCCCCTGCCTACCTCCCTGGTTGATTCTCCCCAACCCTTGCTCCCCCCAGCAGCCCCAACTTCAACACTCGGAAGCAGTTGCAGGTCCTAATGTGTTGTGGTCTGCCCTCCGTCCATGCTTTGCACATGCTGTTCCCTCTGCAGGAATGCCTCTCCTGCCCCACCCCACTCCCTACCTCACCCCACTAGACTAGCCATTCCCAGTCCCACCAAGCCACGCTGAGTCCCCTCCTCTGTGCGTCTCACCCCCTTGGGCTTACTCTGATGCATGGGTTCGTCATTTGTTTCTTTGAGTCTGTCTCCCCAGCCAGGTGCAGAACAGCAGCTGCATTCTGTTTCGCATTCCCTCTGCTGGGGCAGGTGTGAGCAGAACAGTTACTGACCGCTTTGTCCTGGGCCCTCCAAATCTGCACTACGCAAGATGGGCTCCTCTAGTTACATATGGCCATTTACATTTAAATTCTAGTTAAGTAAAATTTTAAATGCAATTTAAAATTCAATTCCTCAGTCACATTCCAAGTGCTCAATAACCACATGAGGCTAGTGGTTACTGCATTGGATAGGGCAGATACAACATTCTTATCATCACAGACGGTTCTCTTGGACAGCATTACTCAATGCAGATAAATTACACCAAGACTGAGAAGTGGGAATTACTATTCCCATTTTGCAAATGAGGAAACCGAGGCTCGAAGAGATTAGGACCTTAATAAGAGACGGGCAATCTGACGCTACTTCTCCAAGCTGCCTCGTCGGTCAGTCCTATTTCTGCAGCATGGTGTGTGTGCCCTGAATTGGTTGTAAAATAACTGGCCAACCAAGGGAATGAATGAATGGATGATGAGCCAATGTGAGTTATTTAGTCAACCCTCCTTCTTATATGGACTCCATTCTGAAACTTTTATCTAACTGAACATCTTCTGTTAAGACAGTGTTAACATGTCCTTCAGCGCTGTCATAACCCTTTAGAAGTAGTTTCTTCTTCCACTGGACCTATGTACCTCTTGCTACAATTCAAGATCTGTTTTTAGTGCAACATAGACACTCCAAAGGCCTAGCCTGGGAGCAAACTGAGAGCAGAATCGAGATTGAGGACCACCGCCTTCACTATTGTGCTCCTAGTGCCTCCCAATGCATAATACCCACGTGGTAGGTGCTCAAGAAATGTTGCAGCTTATGATAATTAAAAAAAATTCTTCTATTGGAAAGTAAATTTGACTTTATCGTCTTTAGGATTTTTTGGGGGGAAGGGGAACATTGAAAACATCTCTAGTTAAAGAAAACTTTAGGAACATTTCCTGAAATTCTTTTCAAGCACTGCATTGAAGTCTAGAATTGAATGCCAAAATTTTGAATCCCATCCCTACCCCAGTTCCTGGGTGAACTAAGCATTTGGTGAATGCGATTGCTTACTGCAGAAAATATTATGTCTCTTTACATCCGTTTTCTCTCAAATCTGAATTTTCTTTGTAGCTGGAAGCCAAACATCTGGAAAGACAATCTGGCTCAGAAACCAGTTGCTGGAGATGCTGCTCAGTGTAATATCTTCCTCCCAACTTCATCTGTCCTCTGAGTGAGTAGATCCAGGAAGAGCGATTTGGCAGAGGTTGCCTCATCCAGGGTGCGGTATTACAACCTTTTCTTAATGAAAAGTTTAGCATCTCTGAGTCAATGTTCTGCAGTGTGTTTCCTGCACTAGTCAGAAAGAAAATTATATTCTCTCCACGCAATAAAACAGACCTTGCCCTAAGATATTCTGATGCAAATGTTTAATGGCCATGAGTAACTCAAAACAGATTTGGTATAATTACAATAAACTCCTTTTGTCACCATTGCTATAGTGTAATTGTTATTGTTCTGGCAGTCGCGACAATTACTGATTTTGATGTCCTATGCTTGGCAGACAATAGAATGGAGAAATGGTTAGCCTAAATAACGTCTATCAAGGAACAGGCTTGCCAAATTCTTCTGCTATTTACTGTTAGTTATTTAGTTATTTTTCCAAGTTGGAAAAAGAAGTATCTGCCTTCAATTAACTTTCAAAACAATGTGGAATCATAAAATTTCATTAGCTCTCTCCCACTGCCTGCTTGCTTCACCTCCAACCCTGGAGTCATTCATTCATTCAACTTTTTGTTGAGCACCTACTGTGTGCCAGACACTGTTTCTCACTCTGGGGATGTGGTGCTGAGCAGGCGGTCCAGATCCTTGCTCTTGCTGAGTTGACATTTAGTGTGTATGTGTGTTTGGGGGAGGGAGGAATCGGGGTGGGGAGTTACCCTTCAGTAAAACAGCCTTGCAAATAGTGTTTAAAAATTTACCAACCTACAAGTCTTTACATTCCTAGAATCAAAGCATGATAGAACTGGAAGATGCCTTGGAGATGAGCTAGTGTAACCCTTCCTTTTCCGTCTTTTTGGAATGGGATGCAGTGTGGTGCTTAAGCACCTGGGCTCTGATGTCTAGACCTCCTGGATTCAAATTCCAGCTCTGCTTCCAGGGACCTTGGGGATGTTACTTAAGCTCTCTATAGCTCTCTTCTACTCATCTATACGAGGATAAAAATAGCACCTGCCATAGATGGAAATTAATTAATGGATAGCCCTGAGCATGGTGCCTGGGACACTGTAAATACTCCATAAGCTAAATGCTATCATCGTCATCATCATCACCATCCCATCACCATCAGCATCACCACTAACACCAGCATCATCATCGTGATCAACCTCATTACCATCATCATCACCATCAACATCATCATCAAGGAAAATGCCAAGATTACATCAAGAGCTCTGCCAAAGTCATCCAGTTAGTAAACATTAAGGCAGGGCTGGAAGAGAGGACAATCTCTTGACTCCTAGGCCAGTGCTCATTTCACTGAACACCAGCCACACCCTCACCCGAGTTAGTCTGGCCTCTGGTGCTGAGAACACTGCCCGGCACAGATGGATCCTTCCCTGGATCCCAGGAGGCTGGGTCCTTTGCTGAGCCATTGCCTCTGAGGATTGGCTGCCCACCTCCCTGCCCTCCAGTTCCCTCTAGTGAGTCTGTATTCTCCAGACTCATCATTTTAAAATTCATTTTTGAAAGTGACAATTAACCATATATTTTTTTTTGCCTAAACTGATAAAGATGCATAAATACTGGACTATTCCATTTAGAATAGTTTTGACAAATGTATTTAAGAAGGGAGGTAAATAACTGTTATGTGTTTATATGACTAGATTGATGTAGTTAGATGGGCGGCTAGACAGACACTGTGTCAGTATGATTATTAGGGGAGCATGACGATCCAGGGGCCTGCACACTTCACGTCTATTGACACATAGTTTCCAATTGCTTTGAAAAGCTTTGGCCAGCTTGATCCCCAGCTGTTCTAGACAAATTCATAGATTTTTGCAGCAATTTTGCCGGCATTTGATTTTGTCATTCTTTTAAAACGTAATATGTACTTCACTGAGAGATATCCAGATGTTGACCTTAACTCATCTTTCCTAGGTAACGAGTGAGGCTGACATTATTCATATTTTCTGGACATGCCATTTGCTCATGGACTGAGAGATAATGTGTTGCATGTGTTGACCCTCAGGACAAAGGAAGACATGTTTCTAAGCTTGGGCCCGGACTGGTTCCTGCTCCTGGTGCAGGGCCACCTGCACCCCAGCACCACCGTGCTGGCACTGAAGCTGCTGCTGCACTTCTTGTCAAGTTCCTCCCTCCGTGGGCAATTTAGAGATGGCCTGTCTGTGGGATCCTGGGTGGAGCGCAGCTCCGAGGGCGTGGACATTATGATGGGTGAGTGTGCAGCCATCTCCAGAAGGAAGTGCCCCCCTGCATCACGGGCGATGAGTGAGGGCCCACCAGGCTCCTCCCCACCTGGGACCTTCACAGCACCTTGCAGTAGGATCACCTTGACCCCTGACCCTGGATCAGCCCCATCCACCCCGACTTCCTTCTCAGGATCCCCTATGGCCTCACTGCTCTGCAGACACTGAGGGCTTCTTTCCATTCCTCAAGAATATTTTCCTCAGCTCTAGTCCTTTTCCTGGATGTTGCCCCTAACCCACAACACCAGCACACCTCTCCTGGCTGATGTGGATTCACCCTTCAGGTCTCAGGTCAAATGCCACCTCCTCCAGGAGAGGAGGGTCCTACCTGAATTGGGGCACCTCTGATGTACACTCTTTGTCTCTGTTATTTTCCTTTATAGTGCTTATCACAATTCGCAAGCATATATTTGATATTCACTTGCTTAGTGTGACTCCCACGGCATTGCGAGTACTTCCTGAGGGCCTAGGGTTCTGAATATTTTCTTGAAACACTATGTCCTTGTTGCCTTGTTTCCCCTAAGGTGATAGACAGCAAATCAGTATCTGTTTTTGAATGAATGAGCATGTCAGGGATAGGAATTCTCCTTGAGCACTTTCTTATGCTCACGTGTGTATGACATATATTTCGATCTGGCATTTCTATGGGATGGGTGGATGGCAGGGAATTCCCTTGTGTGCTCAATCCCCACCTTGACCAGCAGTAATAGCAGTTGTCCTCAATCGAATTTTGTGCCTCCTCCACCTGATCAATAGATAACCTGAAGAGCCACCCTGCCCTGCCTGAGCAGAGCCGCTGCCTGCTTCCTGGGTTCCGTGTCTTGAATGACTTCCTGGCCCACCATGTGCATATCCCGGAAGTCTACCTCATCGTGTCCACCTTCTTCCTACAGACGCCACTTACGGAGCTGGTGGATGGGCCCAAGGTAGGCACAGGGGGCGCCCCCAGGATGGAGTGACACACTTGGTTTTCTGATTCCATATGACTCAGGCGGTTCCCTAAGACCCTCCACCCTCCCCTCCCTCCACTTCTTCCAACTTGTATTGTGTCCTGGCCCAATTCCTCCCCTAGCAGTCCCACAGCCCTTGGCTAGCTCTGCAAATACCCTTGACTTCCTCGGCCTCTGCATCCCATCGTCCCTCCGAGCAGGTCTCTGTTTTCATCAGTCCCACTTTTAAACCTTTCTCTTTCTGGGCACAGCTAGAGAAACCACATGATGGTGGGGGTGGTGTGAAGAGGCAAATTGCGGCCACCACAGACTTAGAGCCTCGGTTTATGCCTTCAGCAAAAGCATGTCCCTTTACCTTAGTAATGCCCTGCTGTTCCCTACCTTCTGATATAAACCTTACTTGCTCTTGAGTCTTCTGGCCCACAGCTGCCCTGTGCTCAGATGACTCACCTCACACTGGGACTGGAGGCTGCCCATGAGGGGACATTGGTGCTGTACCTTGCCTTCCACCACCTGTTTGTGCCATGACCCCCTTCATCTCCTTCTCTCGTTGTCACTGGCAAAGGGGAGATTCTCAAGGCTGATCTGGATTCCTTCCACTCCTTTCCTGAGTGACCTCACCCCCTCGTACCCCTCCTTTCTTTTGTATTTTCAGCATCTTCTTTTCTATTGACTCTTTCCACATAGACCACTGTATGTTCAATTATGTCCTGCCTAAAACCAGAAGCTACACCCTTGACTCACACTCTTGACCAGCTGCTCTCCTGGTTATCACTCTTCTGTCCTTCCTTGGCCAAATTTCTCCAAAGAAGAGTCTACACACACTGTATATACCTTCTCACCACCCACTCACTCACTCACTCACTCGCATCAAATCTAAGTCTCTGTTGGCTCCCGTTGTTGCGGGATCAGGTTCAGACTCCACCACTGGCATCAAGACCCTTCATGATCTGGCTCCTGACTTGTTTCTCCCATGCAGCTTCCTCACTCATCTGCTCTTCGTGCTGCGACCCCCCTGAGTCCATTCCTCAGGAAGACCAGCTGCTTTGTGCTTGTGCCTTTAATGAGCTCTTTCTCCCACTGTCACCTGCCTGGTGAGGTGTCCTCCCCAGCACTCAGCTCAGATATCACCTCCTGCTTAGATCCCCTAGACAGAGGGACCCGTTCCCTCCCTTGTGCCTCAGCTCACCTTCGCCTTCTATGGCGCTGACACCTTCACGTGTTTGCGTCTCTCCTAAGACACTGAGCACCTGAAGAGCAGACCCCGCCTCTTCCTCACCTTCCCGGGCACCTGACAAATAGCAGACTCAAATTGTTTCTTGGTCTTGAGTTGAGTTAAACTGAATTGAGATTGGGGGGAAGCATAGCTTTGCAAACAGAAGGCTAAAAAACTCACCTCTTTTGCACATCTTTATATTTGACCTATCTAAATCTTGATATCTGCTAATGGTATTATAGATCACACTTTGAAATAAAGTTCTTAATATGCTGTGCTATGTTCATCAACACCCTGTATTTTTATTTCTCCAAGAATGTATTGCAGGAAACAAATATCTGCTGAGTGTCAGGACCCGTGATAGATGTTTTACATATTTTATTTCACCTGATATTTCTGACAGTCCCATAGGTTAGATAAGGTACTTTTCATTTTGCAGAGAAGGAAACTGAACTACCAAGAGGCTAAATAGCCTGCGTAAGCCCAGCTTTTAAAGAGGCAAAGTCAGATCATCCTGCTTGTCAACCCCATGCTCTCTCCACTACACTCTGCACTTTCCCCAAAGCCTTTGAATTCATCATTTGTCATCTACAGTCTCATTTATAAAAATCCATTACAGTTGAGTGAGACGTTGAGTACTTGTGATGTCAGACCAAGAGAAGTAAACCCGTGGCAAGACGCCAGTGGGTCTCCAGCACCTTCCTGGACGTGTGAATTTCCCTTATGCACCGTCCAGTGGCCTGAAATTCTCCACGTGGGCTGGCCACCTAGGCTGCCGCTGTGCTGTTTGCCTTGACCACCGGGGCCCCTGGGAAACGCAGTGTCCTGGCTGGAAGGCCGGTCCCCTTGGTGTGTCGCTGCGGTCTCTTTACAGCCCCTGATCCCCTTTCAGGACAGCCTGGATACCATGCTTCAGTGGCTCCTGCAGAGGCACCGCAGGGAAGAAGTCCTCCGGGCTGGGCTGTGCACTGAAGGTGCCCTACTGCTCCTGGAAATGCTGAAAGCCACCATGAGCCAGGTGAGACACAGCCCCCACATGCTGTGAGGAGGTTCTGATGGGAAGATGAGTTTGGAAGGGTCACCTTGACTCTTCCCAGCGCCTTCCCAGGAATACCAGTAATTAGTAAGTGTTACTCAGAATGCTTGCTAGAAGAGGTGAAGTGGGTTCCTAGCGACAGCTTAGGTGCACAGTGGGAAACCCAGCCTAAATGTCCCCAACGAGTTTCATGCACTCTTGCCAGAAGACATCTATTTTCCATTTGTTTAAACATTTGGCTTTCTTCACTGGGAGATTTAATGCCTTCAGTCAAAGGAAACACTTCTGAGCAACTGCTTTAGGTCAGGAGCTTCAGGAACCAAAGGAGGGGGAAGAAGAGGCCTCTCCTCTCAAGGGCCTCACCTTTGCCAGGATAAGTGGGCCTCGCACATGAGAAACCTGTGAGGTAGAGAGCTGTCTTAGAGAAGACAGTTGTTCACCAACTGCAGACATGACATGAGAGCCTTTGATTCAGGCCTTTAAGGTCCACCAGAGGTGTGGGAGAGGTTATTTCAGACATGGAGGCAAGTGTTGGGGGCGAAGGCCAAGTGGCCTGTGAACAGGAATAGTTGTGAGCCAGATCAACAAGAACTTGCATGAGAGGCTGAAAAATTCTGACTTCATTCTGTAGACCCCCGGGGCAACTGGAGGCTTGACTGTGTGTGGGGGAACTTTATTGCTTTTGTAAAATGATACACGATTGCCTGTAAAATTTAAACCAAAGAAAAAGGTAGAAAATAAAAGTCACCTGAAATACACCCACCCAGAGATAACCACAGTGAACTTTAGTGGAATATCCTTCTGACACTTCTCTAAGGTTGTACCACACCCTTACAGAGGATTAGACTACGTAAATTCCTGTTGCCTTTTTTCTTCAACACGCTGTGGACATATTTCTATATCAATAAATATACATGGGAAACATCGATATTTGTAAATGGAAATTTACGTTGTTTCTTGGAGTGTTCGTTGTTTTAAACAGTCTGTAATGCACTTTCATGAGTACATAGACCTCTCTTCTCTCTAGTTCTATGTCCTCCTTGGTGTAAAGTCTGGGATGAGGGAGAGTGGGTCAAAGTGTACTTCATGCATTTTCTTAGGATGCATTTCTCAGGCAGGTTGCATTAGACATTATGCATTCCTCCATCTAACGCACATCCCGCCATCTTGTGCTCAGGGCAGTCCCCACAGCCTCAACAACATGGCCAAACTGATGATGGTTCCATAGTGAGTCCTTCTGCATTTATTACTGCTGAGGCGGATACCATTTTTGTATGCTTATTAACCATTTCTATTTATTTTACTGTGAATGGCCTGTTTATATCTTTTGCCAACTTTGTGTGTGTGTGTGATTATGCTAAGAAAGTACAGATTACACTTGTTGCTCATTTTTAAAGCAGGAATGTATTTAATTTTCATTAAATACTCTTTTAGTATATAATGAGATGATCGTATGCCTTTATACTTTTTTCTTCTAACTAGTTACCAATTGAATCACATCAATAAGTTTCCTTGCGTGCTTGCGAAGATCTCAGTCACTCTGTTCTTATTCTTTTCTCATACTTCCTTATTCTGTTTGTAATATTTTATTTATGATTTTGCCTGCATATTTATGAATGATATTAGGCTGTAGTTTTCTTTTTGTTATATATTTGTCAGGTTTTGATATCAGTATTATGCTAGCTTTATTAAAAAAAGACCGCTCTCCTTTCTTTATATTCAAGAAGATGTTACATCTGTAGTTCTTATGTTGTTTAAATTGTTCCTATGAATCTTGTTAGGCCTGAATTTTTTCCATTATTGCCTATTTAGGCTTTCAAATGTCTCTCTGACCTAGTTTAGGTAATTAATATTTTAAAAAATCTTCCCATTTAGTTTGCACAAATGGTCTCTTTTAATTCACTTAATTTTCGGTGTGATTATTTCCCTCCTCTTGTTCTTAATTTGTAGGCTCATCTCTCTCTTTACCCCATCCCTCCCACTACTTAAGGAGCTGAAGACTTGTGGATGTATCTAAAGAACCAACTTTGGGTATATTGATCATTCTCCTGATATTTTTTTTCTGGCTATTTCTAAGATTTTGATATTTGGCATCTTCATTTTTTGTTGTTTCTAGAGTTTCTGTGATTGCAGTTTTAAAGACCTTTTTGGCTTGTATTTTTCAATGTCCATGTGGTTGAATCTTTTGTTTTTTCGTTGTTGTTATCCATTTCCAGTTTTGTTTTGTCCAGTCAGAACATGTGATCTATAAACTTTCCATCTTTGGGAAACTTATTCATGATCTTGCGGTAGGCCTCTTGTGCAATTAATTTTGTGGTGCCTGAAAAAAATGCCTATTTTCTGTTGCCGTATAAGGATTTTGTTACCTTTCTAATCAATTAATGTTAGTTTAAAAAAGCAAGCAGAAGGAATAACAGGAAAGCATTTAAAATAAAGAAAATGTATAGTTTGCTGAGAGAAGTAAAAAAATAAGACCGAACATTTACATTATAATATTAAACATAAAATGGTTAACTGGTATGTTACAGATGTGACTCTTAGACTGGGTCAAAAACAAGCCCCAATCTTCTGGGATCTAACACAAGAAAAGACATTGTTTTGGTTCAATGAAAATATCTGTCATGAAAGCATCATTTACCAAATACAATAGACCAGCATCAACATATAAAAGACAAAAACTAGAATTATAAGAGAAAAAGACCGGAAACTTAGTTGTGGTGAATAATTCTAAAACGTCTTTCTCAGTTTTTATTTTATTTATTTTATTTTTTGCTTGGAACTGTACTTTGTCTGATACTATTCCCTTGCCCAGCGGTCACCATAGATTAGTTTGCCTGTTCTCGATCTTGGTTTAAATGGAATCACAGAGTCTGTACTCTTTTGCGTCTGGCTTCTTTCACTTATCATTATGTTTGTGGGATTTATTCACCTTGTTGTATATGTCAGTAGTTCATTCTTTTTAATTGTTGAGTAGTATTTTATTGTGATAATTGATCACTATTTGTTTATCCATTCCGGGTTGTTTCTGTTTGGAAATATTATGAATAAAGCTGCTATGTACATACCTTTTGTGGACACACAGACTCCTTTCTGTTGGAAATATACCCAGGAGTGAATTTGTGGGTCATAAGCTACACACGTGACTTGCTTTAGTAGACATCGCCAAATAGTTCGCCAAAGTGGAAATGCCAATTTTTACTCACCAACTCTTATTTTGGAAGGGTTCTAGTTGCTCCATGTCCTTGCCAATGTTTTGCATTGTCAATCTTTTAGATGTTAGCCATTCTGCTGTGTGCAACTATCCATTGGAATAGACAGCATTATCTTCCTGGTGCAAATGTGGAAACTGGAGGTTAACTCCCTCAGGCGAGGTCACAGAGCGAGGGCGTAGTGCAGGCCTGTGTGTTCAGCATTAGCGTTACATTGCAGGTCACTGCTATGCCTAAGAGCCTTCAGGGGGACCCTGTTGCTCAGTGCATCAAATCCAAATTCCTCTTCCAAAAGGTCCAAGTCCTCTCTATCTGACCTTTTCTCCTAGCTTCTTCTATATTCACCTCGTACTAGTCACTGTGAAAATAAGCCTGAAGCACTAAGATGTCTCGTTGAATCCTCACAGCAAGCTTATGAAACAGGTCATGTTACGATCCTTGTGTTACAGAGTTGGGACTGGAGGTGTAGGGGGATCAAAGCGACACCATCAGTAAGGGGCAGAGGCAGAGTTCCAACCGGGCAGCCTAACTCCCGAGAAAGCTCCCAGAACTCGCCCTCTGGTCCTCCCCTGTACATCTAATACAGTGCTGTAAGAACCTGGTAGAGAAGCCAGATGCAGATGACTGCAGAAGCGGTTTCTCTTGGGCTGCTTGCTCAGCCCATAACAAGCCTGCATGGGATCCTACGAGTGAGATTTTAAACTGCTCTCTGATTGTCCCATGCATACTGCCTTTCTTCCTACAGTTAAGTTTGACTTTTCTAGTACGAGTCTCAGTTCCAGGCACTACTTATCCACTTGGTAAACAGGATGTCCTAACTCATGCACATAGGGCCAGGACTCGAGGCAGGCTGGTGGGGAAATGAGGACGCCATGGATGGGAGGGGCTGGGGCTGAGTAACTAGCTGAAGGAAGACTTGACGTGCACCTATAACATCCGTAGGTCCATAGGAGCAGGCTGAGCATCACCCAGTCTAGTTGTTGGTGTGGCTGTGCAGGGAAGGACCCCTGATATTAAGGCTTGTCAACTTTCAAGTTCCAGGCTGTCCATTCAGGGCAGAGTAGAACCTTAGGCAGCAACTGGACACATCAGGGATAGAGCCAGTCTCCAGTTAGGGTAACTGGGCACGGCTGGCCCAGGGAGCTGGGCTTCAGCAGAGCACCAGTGTGCAGCCATGATGGAGGCTCAGCCACGAGGCTGAAGCCAGGTTATGGGGGCAAAGAGATACCTAGGTCCCCTCAAGGTACTGGGTATCAGCTCAGTGCAACATGATCCATTCCAGACCGCTGGCTGGTGGGAAGGGGCTCCACAAGCCCTGCCAGCCTCCGACAGGGTCTGTCCAGGTATCAGCCAGGGCAGCGGCCATAGCTGGGAGCATTAGCACCGGGCTGGGGAAGGCTGGGGTTGACGCTGATTGGTGAGTTCCTTGAGCACAGAGGCTGTGTCTAATCACTGAGAGACAGTGTGGGGAAGGCAGTCAGACTTTACAGCCAGATTGCCTGAGTTCAATTCCAGGCTCTGCCCCTTACCTGCTGGATGACCTTTGGCAAGCAACTTAACCTCTCTGTGCCTCTGTCTTCCCATCTGTAAAATAGGGCTAAACATAGAACCTGCCTCTAAGGGTTGTTGTGAGGTGAGAAGAAGAATACGTGTGATGCCCTTAGAGCAAATCCAGCACGTATTAAACCCTTCCCCAGCTGATGACCAGTGACCAGTGCTAATCTGTAGTCTTAGGTGTCTTGCAACAAGGTGCCTTGTTGAGAGTCTCAGAAAGGAGGTCTTCTCCCTAGATTTCAAATCCTATGGCTCCTTTGCAGCCCCAGTCATGCTCTCCTGCACCACCTCTCATGAAATGTGCCCTCAGCCTTTGACAGGTTCTGGAGACGATGCCTGGGAACGGACTTTCCCGGCCAGCGTGCTGCAGTTCCTTGGCCTCGTGCACAGCACCTACCCCCAGGACCCGGCCTGGCGGGCCCCTGAGTTCCTCCAGACTTTGGCTGCAGTCACCTTCCCACTGGGAACCCACAAGGTAAGTCATGCCACTCCCCTGCCCCTGTGAAAGCAAGGGTGAGCATCATCACCCTTCAAGGGTGAAGGGCGAAATTCCTCCCTACCCCCTAAAATTAAAATACATTTTAAGGGGCCGGCTCGGTGGCATAGTGGTTAGGTTCGTGTGCTCTGCTTTGGTGGCCTGGAGTTCACAGGTTCGGATCCTGGACATGGACCTACACAGCTCATCAAGCCATGCTGTGGCAGTGTCCCACATATAAAATAGAGGAGGACTGGCACAGATGTTAGCTCGGGGACAATCCTCCTCAAGCAAAAAGAGGAAGATTGGCAACAGATGTTAGCTCAGGGCCAACCTTCCTCACCGAAATATAAAATACATTTTAAGGCAACTTGGCTGAAACATTAAGTAAACAACGAGTAATTTTCCTTTTCTTGGCTTAAATGCAGTTTGAGGTCATTTTCAGCTCTGAGATTCAATCATCTTTTCAGTTGTTAGGAATCTCACTGGTGAGAAATTTGATGGTGGATCAAGTCCGATTCCACGTGGAATAGCCACACACGGATCATGTGAAACAACAAATTCCACCCCAGGAAGCCTGCGGCCGGCACACCGTGCAGCAGAGTGTGGGACTGGCAGAGTGTCCTGTGTTTTGTTCTCAGGGCCTTGTCTGTTCGCAGGCCACGACTTGGGACTCCTGTCAGTCAGAGGTTTTGCCCAGGCCTGGCTTAGAGTCCGATGAGCCGAGGCTGGGAGGGCAGAGGGACGGCTGGGTCTTGAGGACAAGGTGTGAGTGTGGGGGGTCAGAGAGGGGACTATGGGAAGAGATGTGAGTGAGTTTGAGACCGAGAGCCTGTCCCAGCAGGTCAAGGGGACTCAGTGGGCTAAGAGCATCTGGGTGCTGAGAGGAGGCTGTGAGGACCATGTGAAGGGCAGGCGTAGAAGGAGGAAGGGCAGAAATCCACTTGTCGCCCCACCCTGGTGCAGTAGGAAGCTGTGACCGAGACATGGAGAGTGAGCTGGTGACACCTGTTGCAAATCGCTAACTATAGCTAAAGGAGCATGTCAGAAAGGCACACGACAGTCAGGGAGGGTTAGAGGCCGTGCCAAGCACAGTGTGGGCAGGCAGAGCTTGCTCCATGGTTATTTGCTAAACAACCAAATGAATCACCGAACGTGCTCTTTCAGCTAATCTTTTCTGGAAGTGTGTTCACGGTGGCAGCCCCCATCCACTGACACCTACAGCAGTCCTGCGCCTGGTGCTCTGCATAACACCACAGGCGCCCTGCGCAGACCTCGGTAGGGAGGGGGGCAGAAAGTGCGATTCAGAGAGGGGAAGTGGTGTGGACCCAGTTCCCCGGTTTAGGGGGGTGATAAGGCCTATCTCACAAAATGGTTGAGAGAATGCAATGCGCCACAGTGTACGTGATTACTGAGTGACAGAGCCAAGATTTGAGCGTCACTCTCTCACCCCAAAGCCCGTGTCCTTTCCATCGCAGTCAGTTTAAAATAAAATTAAATGGCCAAATGGAGTTTAAGAGCAATTAGTTTTAATAAAAAGACTAAATAATAAAAACTAGAAGATTTGCAAAAAGATAAAACGATTTGATAGGTTAATATCAACTAAAGTAACATACTAGAAACATAAGATTAAAAAAAAAGATGCAATGAAGAGCAGAGGCAGGCAGTGCAGACAGCACTGGAGGAAGTGGGGGGGCCCACACTGAGGCCAGGACAGGCAGGGAGGAAGGACAATCCTATAGGCTGCCCCTCACCATCCCCCGCGGGAGCCCTTTGGAGGGGGCCAGGGCCCTGAAGTCCGTGGCCTGGCATTCTTAGCCGAGATCCCCACCTCAGCCCCTGCACCCCTGGGCCAGGCTCGCCATCTGCTGAGTCGGGGTTCCAGCCGGCTGCCCGCAGAGCACGCTCTGACCCAGGGCTCTTCCTCCCCACACTCAACAGTTCCTGCCTGGGGGAGGGCTGGCCCAAAGTCACCTCCTAGCTGACTGCGGATGAGCCAGGCCCTGTCTTGCAGCTCCTGGGTCCAGTTCCAAAGCGCCTATCTCCACACTTCCCGCCTTGTCCTGCTTCCAAGTCGGCTCCAAAAGGCCTTTGTTCCCAGAAAATGTGATAGACTCTCTTCACGCAGAAGGCTGGTGGCCAAAAGGCTTCTATTTGCTGTGAATTTATATGGCATCTTTCCAGCCAAGGCCGCATGGAACTAATTAAGGTGGTCACCACCTCCCTAGGTGCCATTAAATTCATTTTATGGCTTAATTAAGAATGGCTGCATTAATTTTATGAGTGAGCAAAGGGAGGTGCCGACAGGTGAACGCACGTCAACAGTTCATGGGCCAGAAGACTGCAGTCCCTGGCCGCGCGTTCTTGGGTGTGTTGTCCGGCCTCCCTGCATCTCCCTGTCCTCCTGGACGTATCTGGGCTAATGACCCCGTCTCATTTATTTCCAGTATTTTTATCAATATAAAAACGGGAAGTGATGGCCAAGGCTCTCAGGGACTCGGATGCGAGTACTCTCTGAAGTCTTACCTCTCCTCTTTCACCTGAGGGTCCTAGTGTCAACATCAGCAGAGCCTGGCGGGCAGAAAAGGGAGGGCTCCCCTGGAAGGTGGGGATGGCTCTCTTGACCTTGTGCTGGGGACCAGGCATTGTACGAGCACTCTTCTCCCGGTGTGTTCTCACATAGCGTTGTGAGAGCCTCCTATTATCACCTGAGCGCTGCAGGCCTCTCGTGCTCCGTGCTCAGCTTTCTTCCATGACTCTCACCTGTCTCAGGTTCAGAGACCACAGCGGGCCACCTGATGAGCCACAGGACTCTGCAAGTCGCCCAGCTCCCAGGAGCCTCAGTTTCCTTACATGTTAATGGGACCTGCACATGCACACCCATGGTGGGCGGGAAAGAGCCCTGAGGCAGGGCAGGTGCTCATGCTGAAGTTCTCTTGTCTTTGAGGAGGCCGTGACTGAGTCTTCCCAGAATGACAGCAGTCCCAGGGCTGCGGCTGAAGGCGACAGCACTGCCGAAGATCCGCAGGATCCTGCTATGTCACATCCCACCCGGAAGCAGCTGAGGGAGTTCATGCAGCGACTCTTGAGGGAGCTCTTGCTTGCGGCTCCCAGCCCCAAGCAGTGGCTGCCACTGGAGGTGCTCCTGGAGGTGGGTTGGAAGGGGTGTTGTTGGGCCGTGTGCTGTGGGAGCAGCCTGGGAGGGCGTGGGCACCGCGAGGGCTGGGTGTGCCCAGGGAGACCTGAGGGCTGATCTCTTGTGAGAGCTCACTGGCATCTGTAGATGCCAGGGGGCTGGTGGTTGAGAACGTTTCCTGGGACTGCAGTGATGTGGTGGGAGGGAGGCCTTGGGAACCACCGGCCCCGGCAGATCAGGGAGCTCATCAAGCAGCAGTGAATAGGTGAATGAGGGCAGGTCTTAGCCAGGTCCCTAGAAGCAGAGCCTGAGGCGGGGATTTTGGGGATGTGATTCATTGGGGGCGGTATTCTTAGAGGAAGCAGACAAGGGACGCAGAGGAAGACAAGGGAGAAGCTAGCCAGGACATGGCCTCAGCCATTGCCTAGTCCCAACAGGAGCACCGCTGTGCTATCTGCACCCCAGAGTTGGCCCCACCTTGAGGCTCCTGCTAGGTGGTCATTGGCTGGAGCCCCCCACTTGCCTCCTCGCCCTGAGAAGTGGGCATCACTTCCTGAGTTAGGCAGCTTGGTCAACAGAAGGCATTGTCCTAGAGAAGGGGCAGTTGTGAGCTGTCGGCAGTCCACACCCCCAGCAGCTGTAGTATTAGCACACGGCCAGGAAGGGGACCCAGTGGGCACTGAGTGGACATGATGACCATGTGGCTGCTGTCTTAGTCACGGGTGTGCTTCCAGGCTTCTCCAGACAACACCACCAGCCAGCAGAAGCGAGACTTCCAGTCTGAGGTCCTGCTCTCCACCATGGAAATATTTCGCGTGATGAGTGGAGTCAATGCACCGATGCTCAGAGGTGAGTGGGGGGACTTGCTCCTCATTGTTTATGGCACAAAGCTGTTGACAGCTGAGCAGGAAAGCCAGCGCACCCACCAGCTGCTGACCCCAGTGCCCTAGAGGAGGACTGGGCTGCAGCGCTGCAGGGCGCATTAGGAGCCGTGGGAAGCCGCCCTCGGTCGGCACTCCAGTCCCTCCACGAGTGAGCTCACTGACTGCTTTCCATGACGCCTCTGTCATCCTCGGGCCACTTGGGGACAGAAACGCCTTCTGCCCCCTGAGCTCAAATCAGTTCTCCTCCTAGTAGGAGGAGAACAAAATCCCTAGTAGGATTTTGTCCTCTTTCCGTGAGGGAAGTCAAGACGTCAGCTTTAGTTTCACATCCTTCTGCTCAGCATCTCATTCTTCGCTCCTGTGCCTGGCATAGCACAGTAAATAAATGGTTATTCTTAAATAAACAGCCTTGGAGGAAGATGCTGCCGTTGCCCCTAAGAAGTTCAGGTGAAGCTTATTCAGAATACTTAGTTCCAGGGTAGCTATACCTTCCCAACAAGCTTAGACAAAATTTTCTCTGTGGTTTCTGAGCCACGGAATCCTTAGTGACATGTCTCATCTTCCGATTCTTCCTTGCCCCACGATGCGGAAACCCTGACTGCGGTCTTTCTCGTGGAGTATCTGAAGTGTGGGAGACAGTACAGCGGTGAAAAGTGCGAGCTCAGGGGTCCCTGGTCCCATCTTGGCTCTGTCACTGGACAGCGGGGTGACTCTGGCGGGTGCCTGAGCTGTGAGTGAGGACAGCAGCCATGGCTCACTCAGAGGGCTGTTGTAAGGATTAGCTGAGATCATCGCATCCCCTTCTGAGCACAGTGCCCGCCATGCTGGTGAGCACAGCAGACGACGGATATCACAGCTGTATCCTCTGCCCCACGTAGCAGCCGTCCTCGGGTCACCGTGACACCTTCCCATTTACTTTATGCCTTAAATTCTCCTCCACCCTGCTTCCAAATGGCCACTGGAAGAAATGCTGCCCCTTACTTGCCTTCTCTCCACTTGGTCTACATCACTGACCAGATCGTTTAAGATCAGTTTACTTTGAATAAATGTGTGTGCTCTTTGGGCACCTGCTGTGTCTAAGACCCCATCTTTGGAGCGATGTGGTATACAGAAGGTTACAATGGGGTGCACAGAGGGGAGGAATATGTGATTGGTTACCAAAACGAGCTTGGAGACTGTTGTGAAGAGAAGGCATTCAGACTCTGATGATTTCTCAAACTCAGTCTATTTCCTCACCACCTCCGCCCCCAGGCAGTAAAGAGCCTCAGCCAAACACAGAAGCTGCTGCTGCTCCTTCACTCACAAACATCTCCCACTTCACCCAGAAGCTGGTGGAGAAGCTGTATAGCGGGATGTTCTCAGCAGACCCCAGACACATCCTTCTCTTCATCACGGAGCACATCATGATGGTAAGAACCCCGGGCTGGCCGTGGTGGTAAGGGAGCTCCTGCTGACTCACCACGTGTCTGTATGACACGCTGCTGGCTACTGTCCGCTTGGTCGAGATTGACCTGCTGTCCTTCCGAAATAGAATCCGAGGTGGGTGGGAGAAAGGAGGAGGATATTTACGGCCCAGGTAATGCCTGGTGGCTGTTGAGTGCCCTGCAGGGCCCTCATCTCAGGCCACTTGAGATTCATCTCAGTGACCGGGAGCCGCAGCGCCTGGGCCGGCCCCTGAGCTCTGTCCCCTCCTAGACTCTACACCCCTCTTTGGGTTTTTATTGTGATTATTGGTTTAATCGTAATTATTGTTATTCCTCATCAACAGAGGGCCAAAAAGTTCTTTATTTCCAAAAGGCCTATTTCATTTCTTCTTCAGTACCCACCTCCATTGGTCATATTTGGGCTTCCTGGAATCGAGGCAAGAGTCTGTTTTTACCTAGTCCTGGTATTCTTGCGTGTGCTCTCTCTCTCTTCAGATGGATCTGCATACACACACACACACCCTATACCCTTGTATAGTCCTGCCATACAAGGCTATAGACACACCCTTAGATGTAAGTTTGTGTGTGTGCACACATTCTTTATTGTACTTGTGTACACACACACACATACACACACACACAGAATCATACAACCTGAAAAGTCTAGAGTTGAACACTTTTTCAGTCCTCGCCTCCCATTTCATTCTGGAAACCTTTCTGACAAGTGGCTGTTCGCTCTTTCCTTGACCCCTCCCCGTATGAGAAGCTCACAATGGCACGAGGTGGTCCCAGCCAGTGGGACACCGTGACTGTTGGAAGCACTTTCTCTTACCAAGCTGAGATCTCCCTCCAGCCGCTCCTGCAGCAGCTCTCAGTGTGTCCTCTGCAGCGGAATCCAGGAAAGCCCCTCTCCTTCCTCTTCATACCTCATAGAGAGGGTGACATCAGGGGCCCCAGCACCCTTCTGTCTGTGGAGTCACCCGCAGACCCCAGGACTAGGCCTCGGCCTGGGCTGACAGTCAGTATGGCCATGCGCAGTTCAAGGCAAGCCTGAAAAGAATGTATTGAGAGGCTTCTTCAAGAATAACTCCAAGAGGGGAGAAATATCCCTTGTCAGCTCTGAGGGGATTAAAATCAGGTTCTTGGGAAGTTGTGTTGAGAATGAAAGTAGCTCTTGAGCTCTTGTCTTAGTCAGTTCGGGCTGCTAGAACAGAATACCATGGACTGGGCCACTTAACAACAGACAGTTATTTCTCGCAGTTCTAGAGGCTGGGAAGATCAAGATCAAGGTGCCAGTAGATCTGGTACCTGGTGAGGGCTCTCTTGCTGGTTTGCAGATGGCCATCTTCTCTTTGTATCCTCCTATGGCAAAGAGAGAGAGGAAGCAAGCGTTCTCACATCTTTCTGTTAGGGCACTAATCCCACCATGAAGGCTCCATCCTCATGACCCAATTATCTCCCAAAGACCCCTTCTCCAAATGCCATCATATAGGAGATTAAGGTTTCTACACATGAATTTTGGGGATGCACAAACACGCATTCCATAGCAGCTCCCCAGTGGTCAAAGCAAATACTCAGAGCTAATACCAAAGACTGGGTGTTTGAGGGGGCTGACATATCTTCAGGGGGTGCCAGGCCCACAGACTCTCAGTGCTGCCCACATCCACCAGCCTTCTCTCGTGCTCGCTGCCTCTGACTCCCACAACTCTCAACGTCAGTCTGAAAGATGTGACCCATCTGAGGAGCAGGACAGGATGATGATAAAAATGTGAATCCCAAATTCCTGCAGATTTAAATAAAACTTAACTTCATTAGTATAAATACTTGCATTATCTGTGAAATTCTAAGAACACAATCTATAACTAACAACCTTTCTAATAGACTGAAAAATTTTGCATGTATTTTTCGTTCTGTAGATTCTTTTAAAAAATTTTATGTATTTTTGTTGAGATATAATTGACATATTGCATTGTGTAAGTTTAAGATGTACAATGTGTTGATTTGATACATTATATATTGTGATGTGATTACCACCATAGTGTTAACTAACACTGCTATCAAGTGACATAATTATCATTTTTTTTTTTGTGGTGGGAACAATTAAGATCTAGCCTTTTAGCAACATTGAATTTTATAATACAGTACTGTTGTCTATAATTATTATGCTGTGCATTAGATCTCCAAGACTTATTTATCTATTGGTTGGATTGGAGTAATGAAGCCAAACAGAGGGATGGACCAGTCAGTGTTAAAGCTACAAATCGGGACCTTCTGCCTTCCCCCTCTAAATTTATTGTGTACTAAAATCCTTTGGACTCCCGTCTCCTTTAGATGATATGGTGGTCAAGAGCATGGCTCAAATGTCTTGACCCTTGCCGACCATCTAACTTCTCTGACCCTCAGCCTCCTTCTTCCTAAAGTGAGATAATCTTAGTGTCTATTTCACAACATTATTATGATGTTTAAATGTAAATCTATGCAAATCAATGCAAAAATGCTTAGCGTGATACCTGGAGTATTGTAAACAGTCTATACATGATAATTATTATCAATAATATAAAAAATATTATTAAACACATTTTAAAAATTTAAAACTATTGATAGCTTGTTCTTCTACACTGTATGTCAACCATGTTACCAGTATTTCAGAAATCTCTGGTCCCCATACCTATTTTCTGTAATATGACCATGATAAACTTTTAATTTTTTTTTTTTTACAAAAGTTTTTGGTAAATCCAAATGTGTGAGTTGCCTTTATTGATCATTCACTTAAATAAAAGTCCAAAGGTAGGAGAAATTAGTCCTACCTGAATTTTAGATCATGTCACTTTTTGATTGTATCATTTCCACAGTTAGCTCGCTCATTATCTAAAAATGCAAAGTTTTCACAAGTATGTGTGTGTGTGTTTATTTTATGACGCAGGTCGTCGAGAATGCGTCTTCTCAGAGGGACACCGTCATCAGTGCTTTATACAGCAGTTTAAATAAAGTCATTCTTTACTGCCTCTCCAAGCCCCAGCAGTCCCTCTCCGAATGCCTCAGCCTTCTCAGCATCCTCGGCTTTCTACAGGAGCACTGGGACATCATCTTTGCCACCTATAACTCCAATGTCAGCTTCCTCTTGTGTCTCATGCATTGTCTTTTGCTGCTCAGTGTGAGAAGGTAAGAGCTGCTCATTTGCTTCCATGCCCACCAGGGGTCAAGGCAGAAACAAAACTGTAGAGAGACACTTGATTGAGGTCGATATAAATGATATAGTCGTTTCGTTTATCTGGTTGCCCAACTGACATGCAACCTTTGATAATATGGTAGGTTGTTCTCAAACCTGTTCATGTGACTGAGCAGCTAGAAGCATCATGAAATAATAATTTTCCCTATTTCCACTCTTCTCAGGTTCTAAGATCCTTCATTGATTTAATTTTGGGGATAGAAAACTCTAACATTAATATACACATTGATTTTATGATACAGCCAGATTTCAGAAATATTAACATTTGATAAATGCAATCTTAGAATGGAAAAATATGTAATAAGTTGTATCACGCAAACCAGGATTGATTTTGCTTGCAGAAAAAAATATGCACATACAATTTGTGATATAAAAATGACATCCATAAACACATTTGTGTAAGAGATAGTAATAAAAAGAAATTAAATTAAGCTTATTTAGATCCTTTTCTCAAAGTCCACAGTTTAAAATACGTTAGATTTCTCTGTGTACGTGCACGTTCTCTCTCTCTGTGTGGCTGTGTGTGTATGGCGCATCACCAGTGTCTTGGTGTCATACTGCCTACAGATGTTCCCTCTCATCACTACAGCCATGTGGAGGGCAGAGGAGGAGAGGACTACGGGGCAGCACACCTTGCTCTTGTCCTTTTCCTTGATTGTATTTATCCCAGTACAAATTACGTTTAAGTACTTGGAAAAAAATCCCCAAATTCTGTCAAGTTGCCTATTGAACATTACAAAACACTGGAGTTGTCTTGTCTTAAAACTCTCTGGGAAGCCCTGGAAAATGCTCCCAGCCCAGAGGAGGTACCTGCCTTTTTATTTGTTTGAAATAGAAGAATCCATTTTCAGTGTATGGGTTAAATTAGGGAAGTTCTTCTTTCTTTTCTGTATTTCAAGAATTAGGCCCTATCCGTACCAGAAGCACAGGGAAGAAGAGTGAAATGCCAGCTGTTTTGTGTGCTCGAAGTTCCACCCTTTTCAACCCCTCTATTTGGCAAAATGGCCTCGAAAATCCAAAGGGACTTCATTTTAGCAATTTCAAGAATGGACATTCTCATATACTGGTGTTTTTTCATTTCCTTGTTTGTCATTTTTGGTTCAATCCACAAACACGGACTGAGTGTGCATTCTGCTTGGTTGGCTGAGGGGGTCCAGAGAAGAGGGCACATGGACATTAACATGACCAGGGGCCTTGGAGCACACGGCTCACGAGGAACTTAATATGTAAACCACTGCACCCAACTTAGAACCAGCTATGTGATGTGCCCTTGCAAAATGCAAATGAGGGTCTCATTCAAAAATTACCAAGAATTTCAAGACGGTAGCCAAAGAGTCCAAGCATGGCGCCCTTCTGAGTATGGACCCTGTACAACTGCACAGGTCACGGCCCGTGAAGCTGGCCCTGGCCCCATTCCAGGCAGGATGAGATCAGGGCCAAACAAAGGCAGTGTTCAATGTTTTGGGAGTCTGCAAGAAGAAATGACCAGTTTCGATGGTGGGGAAACCGGGAGAGGGTTCAGGGGGCCTGCTGGGAGTATGAATTGGATTTAATAAGATATGAATAAATAGAGGGTGTTTTTCCTATTTCCCAGAATGCTATTGTACAATATCTGTCATGGAAGTTGTCATAAGATGTTTGCTTTAACTTGATTAGACGAGTTTTTCCATATCGATATGTACTGAGTTTGGAGGATGATTATTTGTAATAAAGAATGACGGAATAATTCCAAAGAAACTGAGTTTATAGTGAAAAATCTCTTGTCTACTAGTTATCCAGAAGGATTTGGATTGGAACCGAAGCCTAGAATGACTCCTTATCATCAAGTCTTTCTTTCTCCAAATGAAGAAGCGGGAGAAAAAGGAGGGGAAGACTTCCCAAGTCTAAGTGATGGTACATTTTATTTGTTGTTTATTTTGTGGGGGAGTAGACGGATAGTGGTAACTGCTAGGGTTGTGTTCTTCAGGTTATCCTTCCCAAGATACTACTAAGGAGATTCTCAAAGGCCAGAAGAGGCCCTAAGAAATCTCAGACAATGTAGTAGTACAGCAAGGTAACCTGATAGAGAATAAAACTGGAATGAGCTTTGTATATTAGAAATGGAATGGGATGGATGGATGGATGGATGGATAGATGGATGGATGGATGGATGAAGAGAAAGCTCTGTGGGACTTGACCTGGTTAGACTAAGAACTTAGTGTACTTACTAAAATCCTAGAAGACCTCACCGTAAGTTGATTTCAATTCTCAGGTGGTCTCTCGAATTTTCTTTCAGGCCACTAGATGTGGAAACTGGCATGCCATCTCACCTAGTTCAAGCCATTACCTAGCCGTCTCTCAGTTTTCTTTCCTAGAAAATAGGAATGGAGTAAATAAACTCATTACTTCTATGAGATTTTTGGCTTAATGAAGTTTAATTCTTGGATTTGCTAATATCAAATCAAGTTAAAGGGATTAGCAATTCATGAAAAAAATGGCAGCCAGATCCATGTGTTTGAGAGATTGCTCCCTTTTGATCCAGGAAGCTTCAGCAGACCTTCTTCCACCAGTTCGGTTTGCTGACCCTGCCACTCACCCTGTGATATCTTGTGATACCAGATGGTAGACATAAGGGCCTCTGTTTTCTAGTCAGATAGGTGCCCAGAGCCAGTGATCAAAAATCTTGTGAGTAAGTTTACTCTGACACAGTGTTATTTACGACACGAACATTTGCATTTCGGAACTTGGCTAGTAGAGTGGACTGAGCAATATCCATCCCCCTACGATGAGAAAAACAGACTGAAGAGGCTGGTACCAGAGGAGGCACCCAGTAGTCCAAGATCAGAGGGAATTTGGGCACTGTTCAGGGGATTATAGTTGTGTGGCGTAGCAGGAAGAATTAGCTTGGTAGATTTGTCTATGGCTGGGCAAATCCAGGGCACTGAGATGGGTGGGTGGTGAGAAGCATGATCCAAGACCAGGAAAGAGGACCAGCGTGGGTCCTAGGCCCCTGGGGACAGTCTTGGGTTTGGTGTCCATTGCCCTGAGGGGATAACGTCAAATGTAAGGTTGGAAGGAGCTGTTTTAGGGGAGCTCTTTGGTTACCTAGAGCTCACACAGGTATCTCTCTGTTTGGTATCTAACAGAATTGTGGGGGTGGGAGAAAGAGGTTCTCTGAGCCCATCAATCGTGTTCTCTCTAGACATGTGAGGCAGGCAGATCTTGGTGGTGGAGACAGAGGAAAGGCCAGCTCACAAGGATGTTGTTAGCATTATCATCAGCTCTGTGGCTCTACATACAGACTGCTATATGGAGCTTACCAAGCTGGGGTGATGTTCAAGAAGGATGCGAATAAAAGCAACCATGATATGCCATCTCCTGGCCCTCTCTGGGAGAAGCACTAAGGCCATCCTGATTGTGTGATGTGCTCTCTCTGTTAGTCCAGTACAACATCCAAAAGACGGTGCGGACTCTCTGGCAGCAGCTTGTGGCACAGAGGCGGCAGGAACTGGAGGACACCTTCAAGATTGATCTCTCTGTGAAACCCGCAGAGAGCAAAGTGAAGATTGAAGAGGTCACCCCACTCTGGGAGGAGACGATGCTCAAGGCCTGGCAGCATTACTTAGGTCTCTGTCCACTTGGCTCCAGGGAATGGAATTTCTGAGTCTCATAGAGCCAGACTCCCCCAAGGTTCCACTCAGGGCCCAGAGCCTTTTCTACCCAGACCTTCTCTCTTATCTCTTTGGTGGGTGGGATGTACATCACTGAAATCTCATGAATCTTTGCTCACAAAGAATGAATGGTGCTTTGCATCTTGGGTGAAAGGAAGGCCAGAAGTGCCAACCAAGCAAGCAGATTCTAGGAATCTTTTAGAGAGAAGGGCCACATATCAGAGCTCTAGCTTGGGCTCTGGAACTTAGGGTTCTAGATTTTGCCCTGGTATTTACCTGCCAGCTTTGAAATATTACACCAAGTCATGTAGTGACCTGGAACCTCAGGCTCTTCATGTTCCAAGTGAAAATCTTCATCCCAAAGATATTAATGTCCCTTGAAGTCTACCAGTGACTCAACAGTTTTACCCTTATATTAGTCAATGCAGTTGTAGGAATGAGGTTTTAATTTCATTTTTAAAGAGGACATTGCTCTCAAATTATGGCTCATATACTTATCTTTCAACATCACAAAATTCGTAATGATTCAAGAGTTAGTTATTTCCATGCATATCATTCCAGACTGCCCAGTGGTATAGAACCTTTATTTCATTGGCTTTCAATATTAGCCCCGGCAAATATGTATGTATCTATGTACATAAATGTATAATTTGAAGTCAAAATGTCAGATTCCGTTTCAGGGAAAAGTTCAATAAAATGGGACATATATACTCATGCACATATGGTGGAATAAAATGGTGAGATGAACCTTAGAACTTACAAATGGCTCTCTTTTTTCCAACAACCATATATTGAAAACTGTGTATTCCCGGGCCTGTGTTTTAAACACATAGTCTTGTTTACTCTTCATGACACTGCAATGAGGTTAGTTACCATTATCCCCATTTTACAGGATGAGAACACTGAGGCTCAGGAACATTAGCTAACTTGTCCAAATCTGACTTCAAGTCAATGAGCTGTGGGGCTAGGGGTCTAAGCCAGCTCTGATGACCCCCAAACCCACACTATATTTCTTAGTCAGAAGATGGCAGTATAAGTTTATAGCCTGGGTTGTTTCCCCTATTGGAGGCAGGCACACTGGGCTCGTGCCCCTGGCTCGCCCTTTGAAAGCCAAGCCCGCTGTAGAAATAGTGTGTGTTCTCCTCTCAACCTCGCCTCTGACAGTCTTTGTCTCTCTGTCTCCAGCATCTGAGAAGAAGTTGCTGGCCAGTCGCTCGAATGTCGGACACCACAGCAAAGTCACTTCATGGAGTGAAAGCTTGTCCTCAGCCATGAAGCTGATGCCTGGACGGCAGGCCAAGGACCCTGAGTGTAAGGCAGAGGTAAGCCCAGACCCCTTTTTCTCAAAGAAGCATCAAGCATTTGCTTCAAACACCATGAGTTGTGTCCTCTCTGTTGTCACTGGACGTGAACTACTTCCACATTCTGACACACCTAGTAGGGCAAGGTCTCAGGCTAGCTTTAACTCAAAGTGCATATGGGCTTCCCTTGAGCACCAAGAGCAGGCGTTCCTTATGACAGGTGTTCCAAGCCTGTCCTCGTTCCCCTTCTCCTTTTGAGTCAGCTGTGCTCAGAGGGCACTAGCCCACAGCTCAGCAGGAGTGGGGACAGAAACATCAGTGTCATTGCCGGGACATGTAGTAGTGGATCCTCTAACTATGTGGGGCTGAGCCTTGGGGTTTCTAATTCATTTCTCTTAGCTGCATAACAAACCATCCTAAAACTCAGTGGCACCAACGATGACTTTTTGTGGTCGTGGATGCAGTGGTAAGGAATTTGGAGCATGGTGGGGGTGGGTGGGGGGCTCTCTACTCCACCATGCTTGAGGCCTTGGCTGGGATCATCAGAAGGCTCGTTTACTCACACATCTGGTGGTTGCTGCTGGCTTTGGGCTGAGACCTTAGCTGAGACTGTTGGCTGGAACACCTACACATGGTTTTTCCATGTGTCCTGGGCTTCCTTACAACCTGATGGCTGGGTTTCAAGGGCTAATTTCCATAGCAAGGAGGAAGGGGAGGGAGAAAGAAAGAGAGAGCGAGCCAGGGGGAAGCAATAAGACCTTCCACAACCTAGCTTTGGAAGCCATGCAGAATCACCTCTGCTGCCTCCCTTTGGGTGAGACAGCTACATTGTTCTGCCCAGGTTCAAGGAGAGGGAAATAGACTCTACCACCTGGTGGGGAAGTCGCAAGGTTTTGTAAGAGCATGTGGGACTGGAAATATTGCAGAGGCTCTTTATGGAAAACACAATCTGTCATATATTCTAATGCTGGGGTCTCTGACATCTTCAGAGGCAGACTGTGGTCATTGAATGGACGTGGTCTTAGGGTCAGGAGACCTTGGGCAATCTACTTAACTTCCCTGAGTCTTTATCTCCTTCCCTCCACAATGGGGCAAATAATTGTGGGAAACTGTGGGAAGGGGCTCCCCAGTGAGGTGGAGTAGACGGTTGATAGACACATCATACAATTTGAGTTCTCTGCCCATGTAAATTTGGAAAGTGAGGTTGAGCCCAAATTCCACCAGCTCAGAATCTAGGCCTTGCTGTCCCCATGGGTCTATTGTCCTCTAGGGAAGGCCACAGTCACCAGCTGTTGGGGAGAAGAGAGGAGTGAAGGGCTGCCTGCAACTGCCAGAGAGCAGGGGGACGGAGGCTTTCTTCTTTCCCAGCTTCAGGAACAATAGGCTTCAGGATATGTGGAGAAAGAGCCCAAACATAGAAGAGAAGACAGGAAATGAGCTTGACTGGGCTGGCTGGCCGCCTGGTGTTCCGAACTGAGGGCAGGCTGTCCTCAGCACATTGGCTGTGGAAGACGGTGCTCAGTAAGCTTGTTGACAGACTCACTAGCTGACTGACTGAGAGAGTAACTCCCTTCGATTTCCTAACAGTCGCATCACACGGCTATGATTAGCCTCACTTTATAGATATGGAAACTGAATCTAAGAAAAAGCCAAGGGCTTTGCAGCCGGGAAGTGGCAGAGGGAAGCCAAGATCTCCCATCTCTGTACTGCTGGGCACGACCTTAGGTCGTTCTGTAACATTTCAGAGCTTCGAGTTCTGCACTTACAACCGGGAATGGGCTGTGTTTACGCTAGAACATGTGCAAGCACTTGGAAACTGAGAGTGCTTTAGAAACAGAAGACAGTTTGCAAAACTGCATTTTACCCTCTAGCTCTGTCTGCCAAGAGGAGGACCGTCTTGCACGTGTGTAACTGCACTGAGCCCTGGAAAGCTGGAGCACCCCCACTTGTCCCCAGGCGCTTGCTCCTGATGATGCCATTTGTGGAAGGAGGGGGCCAGCCCCTCTGCCCTTGGCTTCACCCAAGCTTCTCCTCCTTGACCGTGTTAGCATTGTCCCCAGGAGGCCAGGTCAGTCTGGCTGGGGAGCTAGGGAAGGGACAGCTGGGATGATGGGCAGGGACATGCATTTTATGGGAACTTTTGCAGGCTATTGTTGCTGCCTCTTGCTAGTGCCCACTCCCTGCTGGGTCACTGTTATTGGCACAGCTCGGCTGCCTCCGAGTCCTGGGGAGATTGGTTGGGAAACAGCTCATCTGAAAGAAGCTTGCAATGTGTGGGGCTGTGTAGGTTTACAAATGGTCTGTAACAGTTTGCTCTTGGCTCACATTGAGAGATCTGGAAGAAAGAATATTTGAAATTGGCTCTGTCTTTGATGAAGCAAGGCTGCTGAAGATGCTGTCTTTTATATCAATTGAGGTCTCATTCATTCATTCATTTACTCCACAAATATTTACTAAGTGCTCACTCTGTACCCTGCTCTAAGCACTGAGGTTACAGAAGAGAGAAAAACCAATATACTCTCCGCTTTCATGGAAACTGAATTGTAGGGGGTGAAGATGGACAATAAACAGATAAATTCGTAAATATTAGGGGTACTAATTGCAATGAGGAAAAATTGCTCAGGGTAAGTGGGAGAGGGTGGCAAGAGAGGTGCTAGGCTGTTGATGGATGTGGTCAGAAGCCCTCTCTGGCAGGGGCTGTGGGAGCAGAGAATAAGGAAGGACGTGAGCCTGTGCCCCTCCAGGAAAGAGTGGTCAGGCAGAGAGGACCGTCAGGCAGAGGCACACAAGCAGGCGTGTACTGGAGTGTTCTAGGGCAGCAAAGGCCAGTGCGGCTGGACTGAAGTGGAGAGAGGGAGGCCGTGGGGGCCGTCTCCCTCAGCTGGTAGCCCCAGGAAGAATAATGCTTTTCCACAGCAACTCCCGGACAGCAGGACTTCTGTCCCTGTTATGTTTTCCTCTTTGATCTGGCACTCAGAAGCTCAGAGAGATAAGCGTGGCCTAATTCTTGTAACTGCACACACCTAGTGGGATAAATTTCTGCAAAACACGTGTACACACACACACGCGAGCGCGCGAGCGTGCGTATGTGCATACACCCCTCTCCCTGGCTTCTGCCCTCCTGTTTGAGCCCCATTTTACCTTCAACCTGATTTATTTATCCTTTCTACAGCTTATAATATCTTGTGGAATTTTTAAAGACAAATAATTTTTGAAACAAAGTGCACTATGTTTTAATTTTAAAAATTAACTGCATTCTTGCTTTGGAGCATCCTATACCAATGACTCAGTCTGGGCTGGGCACAGTGCCCGGTGCATAGAAGGTTCTTAAAGAATGTGTAGGGAACTGCACGGAGCTGCCCCTCCTTTCACTGGGGTGAAACCCACCAGCCTTCAGACCCCGCATCCATCACTCATCCTCGAGAGATGAGAGATGGCTTTGTTGCTAACAGAAGGCACAACTTCTCGGGTACATATGTACACTGTGATGTCATAGGATAAGAGCATCAACTATTTGCCCTGGGGTCTGTTTAATTATTTTTAAAAATTAATTTTGATTATTACAGCTGATTACACCTCAGTGAGCAATGTAATTGATATTTTCTAATGTATCCCAAGGAACATTTTGTACAACACACTTTTTGTTGTTGAAGGTTAAAGACTCCGTTATTGGTTTTTCCCTAAATATGCCCACATCATTAGTCCCTCCAGTGAGAAGGTCGCCATCTGGAAAAAGCAGCGTGGAGACATTATTCAGGCACAAGTGCATGAAATTGGTGTTTCTGCATCTTCTGTCTCTCTTCTGGAAAGAAGAGGCTTGTAATTAAAGGAGTTGGTTTTGGAGGAAACATTATTCATGTGGTGTTATTCCTTATCATGTCAGCGCTGACAGCTCTACAGCACTGAAAAATTGTTCCTTGGAGTGAGACAGACGATGTACGATTCCTAATTCCTCTTACCTGTCTCCATCGTCAGTGGAAGCGTTTTCTTCTTGGCAGGTGAGCTGAACTTTGAGGCAAGGCTGATGTGATGGAAGTTATTTCTTCTTTTTCTTCCCCCGACCCTCTTCAAAGTCCCTTCTGGAATGAGATTGTGAAGTCACAGTCTCTACTGGGGGGAAGGCTGCGGGTGTCAGCCTGTCGTCAGAGGTTGGTACCTTAGGCTCCCTGGAGGCCACCAACGAGGGTGTCCGGGAAGCTGCTGGGTCACGTCCACCCTCAGCCTGGAGAAAGCCAGAGCGCACCCTCTGGCCAGCCGCTCCTCCTCATGTCAGTGGGCACGGCTTTGCTCATCTGCTCAGTTTCAGGCTTTCCTGTCTAAAAACAAGTCGAAAAAATATCGACAACCTACGTTGGTTTCTTAGTTTTGACGGGCATACTATGGCAATGTACTATGTTAACATCACAGGAAACCAGGTGACAGGGTGACAGGAACTCTCTGTGCTAGCTTTGTAACTTTTCTGTGAATCCAAAATTATTCCAAAATACATAGTATGCCACCTTTTTTTTTTTTTTTAAAGCATTAGCAAACAGAAAATGGACGCACAGGACACAGGAGCTGGGGGTGGGAAGGGGCTGTGAGGATGAAAGTGTGCGAGGCTGTGAGCAGAGGGACAATGGGGGGCACCGCAGGTGGCAGGATGGGCGTGGAGGCCAGCTCAGGGGGCCACGGAGGCCATAGTGGGGGTTAAGCAGGGAGCTCATACTGCTTCACTGTTTGGAGGGGTTGGACTGGAGGTTAGGGCCCTGAGGGAGGGGCCGGGCTGGGGGCGGTGGTGTCACTCAGGTGGGAGATGATGGGGGCTGCAGTGGCAGTGGTGGGAGCAGTGGAAAGCAGAGAGCACACCAGAGAGTTCTGTTTAACTGAGGCTGAGATAAGCAAAGCAGGGCCATTCCTAGCCTGTAAAGGGCTGGGAGCTTCTCTGGACGGGTACAGCCACCTGAGCTGTGTCTTGCTGGGCAAAGCATGAGCTGGATTTCAGCTCACTTTCCTCCTGAGATCAACTGTACATGGGTGGACAG